AAGGGGAGTCTTGAACGCCGTTTTCCATTCATCGCCCTCTCTGATTCGGACGAGATGGTAAGCATTGCGTAGGTCGAGTTTTGTGAAAATGGTAGCATCTTGAACAGGTTCGAATGTGGATGACAGTAAAGGAAGAGGATATTTGTTTTTTACTGTAATCTGGTTGAGCCCTCTGTAATCAATGCAAGGTCGAAGTGAACCATCCTTCTTAGTTACAAAAAAGAATCCTGCTCCTAGTGGTGAAGTGGATGGTCTGATGATACCAGATGCTAGGGATTCGTTAATGTAGGTGGACATGCTGAGCTGTTCGGGTTTGGATAGGTTATACAACCTGCTGGATGGAAGTGTTGCGCCCGGCAGGAGATCGATGGCACAGTCGTAAGGACGGTGAGGAGGTAGAGATGAGGCTCGGTCCTTACTGAACACAAGGGCGAGGTCATGATACTCCTTTGGTACTTCAGACAGGTCGGGAGGAACTGGGGAATCGGCTGTTGGTGCTGAACAGATAGGTGGAGCAGAACGAAGGCAGTCAGTTAGGCAGTGTGAGCTCCAAACAGTAACTCGGGATGTTTTCCAATTTATTTGTGGGTTGTGCTTAACCAGCCAATCATATCCTAAGACTACGGGGGAGTGAGGAGATGGAAAAACAAAAAACGAGATACTTTCCTGGTGGTTGCCTGACACCAGCAAGCTGACTGGCACAGTCTGGTGGGTTATGGTAGTGAGAGAGTTGCCATCCAGGGATGATGCTCGCAGAGGAGTCGGAAGGAGAATAGTGGGAATGTCCAGATCTTGAACGACTGATTGGTCCAGCATGTTACGTTCGCATCCAGAGTCTACTAAAGCCTTCAACACACGACTTCTTTGATTACACACCACAGTACAAGGAAGCAAACATCGGGAGTTTGAGCCACCATTACCACCCACCAGTAATCCCGGAACTACTGGTGGGCTTGCCCTTTTACCCGCAAGCCACAATTTGAGATTCTGTGCCCTGATTGACCACAGTAAAAACAAAGATTAGCGGAGAAACAACGTTGCCGCTCCTCCTGACTCAGCTGGGTTCTGCCGATCTGCATAGGCTCGTCTCCTGAGGAAGATGCGACTGGTGGCTGAGGGGTTCTGGTTTGAGTTAGCGGTGGAAATGACATTCTAGAGCCCTTAGAACGCTCCTTGAGACGCTTTTCAATCTTTATGGCCAAGGTAATAAGGGTTTCGAGGTCAGGAGGTTCCTGGCATAACGCCAACTGATCCTGGAGGCGATCATTTAACCCCTGGGTAAATGCTCCCAGTAACGAACCACTATCGAGGGAGGAAGTTGCTGCCAGCGTGCGAAATGCTATGGCGAAATCGGCTACTGTTTGATTTCCCTGGCGGAGATTCCACACCTTTTTGGCTACCTCAGCTGGGGTCTCTGAGTGATCGAACGTTTGCTTGAATTCAGCTAGGAAATGTGAAAGTGGACCACGCAGAAAACTAACGTCATGGCTCCTGGCTTCAGCCCGATCTAAAGCCTTACCCCAGAGTAAACCAATAATATAGGAAATCTTAACTGAATCTAACATGAAAGCTTCAGGAGATCTTTCAAAAGCCAACTGGCAATTAAACAGAAAACCACGGCATTTGCCGAACTCACCGGTATAGATGTCTGAAGGAGGCGAGTTGGGTATCCGGAAGTTTACAGTAGGGGGCGGAACCGGAAGTACGGACGGAGGAGAAACGGGAGGCTGAGCAGAAGGTTCCGAGGGAGTTAAGCGTGTAGTGAGATTACGTAACATTGTGTCCATCTGGAGTATTCGTCGGTGAGAGTCAGAGACTTGCTCCAGTAAACCATGGATGGCGTGTTCATGGCGTGTGAGAACCTCAGAAACAGCGAGCGGAGCACTAGTGGACGGGTTGGATTCTGCAATGGGATCATTGTTATGGCCGGATGATTCGGTCATGGCGGGCGGCAATCTTTTGACCCACGACATGCAGAATCACCACACAGGAACCGGTAAGTAAGTAAAACGACTTTATTATGTACTGAAGGGCAACGAGGGGAACAGACGACGGGCAGGCTGGCAGCAAGATTTCAGGATGGAACTCTGAGGAGGGAGACAAAATGAGTATATGGAGGAATGACGGAGACTGATATTGGGAGTGGAGCTTACTGATTGCAGTAGTGGTGAGAACCTCCGGAGGGACTGGTCAGGTCCGGGTGAGCAGGAAAGCTCCAGAAGGTGATGGGACTGTTGGTCCAGAGAGTAGGTAGGAGCAGCGGTTTGGTGGAGGCAGGTGAGCGGCTGAGAGCGAGCGGCCAGGGGAGGAGACGGCGTGATCTGGTGTGCAGGAGTCCAAGCTGGTTATGGAGGTGGTGGAGTGTGAAAGAGAAACCTGGAGCAGAGCAGGGGAGGATTATCAGGGTTTCTTCTGACGACAGAAATCAAGCAGAGCTTCAAATACAGGTTAGTGACTAGGAACTAGAAATTTCACAGGATCAAGACAGGTTAAGGCTAGAGCTACCCAAGATAGAGTAATCATCCGGCGAAGTGAAGTGCCACACTGCTCCTTAAATCCCCTGGGCCGTAATGACTGGATTGGCTGCAGCTGGAGACTCTCAGACTCTCAGACACGTCCACCTGAAAACAATGCTCAGAAAATACAGGTGAAATGCAGGAGGCTCACCACGGACCGTGACAAAAATGTGTCCAGATGAAAACCTTTCACGGACTTCCTGTATGATAATTTGAGCTGTTATTAATATTATTGCAAAAAATTTTTACAGGATCTCTCTCATGTTTTGTATCTTGAGTTTTATATTCTGTTTCCAGTTCAGTTTGAACTGTTTGCATTCTACTTCTAGCTGTTAATGCTGAGAGGTTTCTCCCTGTAATGCAAGTCATGGTGACTCTTCTGTGATTCAGCGACATTTGTCTAGCCCCTCCATGCTCCTGATGACTGGTACTTTAGCCTTTTGTGGTGTTCCATTTAATTTAATGAAGATTTTACAGTTGGATGTTCAAGTAGACATCTGTGCCTTTCAACTTTTTCCCTTGCTTCAACAGTTCTGCCTTGTATATTCGGTTCAACAACCGCAATATTTTAGTTTGGTGCAAACGCACCTTTGGTCTTTACTGCAGCTGAGTTTTGATATGCTTGTTGCTTTTTGGTATCTCCATCTTTCTTCACTTATTCTTATGCTGCTACTGGAGGTCTGAGTTCCCCCATGGGACAAAACAGCATCTGTCCTGATCCTCTGAGTTCTGCATGATAATCATGTAGCCTAACATAACCATTAGTAACCTCCCCATCTATGGCAACAACGCAAAGCAAAACATGCAAACTAGACTTCTAAATACAAGATTTATATTTGGGAATTTTAGGCTATGACCTTGTGTATGTCATCGACATTCATATTACCTTGAATAATGGGGACATCATGAAACAGGTGAGAAAGCCCCACCCACCCCCTCTGAGTTTCAGATATGTGTGATGAAGTCATTCCGTTTGAACAGGTCATAGAGAGTTGGCAGTTATGTAACTGAACGGGTATTTTGATATAATTCCTGCTTTGAACACAATCTGTTTACGTTTTATAACCTTTGGACATTCCTCAACACCACATCTGGATTTATTCTATAAACAAACTCTTTTGGCCCCCACATATTTTTTAGTACAGCCAGTAAAATGTTTGGCACGTTCCTTAAACTCAGCCTGACCCTCGTGAGGTAATGAGGCCGTGAGGGTTTGGGCGCTTAGGGCAGCTAAGAATGCCGTGGATTGAATTATGCACAAAACTGTAGGAGTTTTCATCTGGCTGGCCGGGGTGAACATTATACATTTGAATGAAAATAAAACAGCTTATTTTTGGGGAAAACTGATCAGAATGCAGCTGTGCTATTGGTCCTTTAAGTTCTTTAACTGTGCTGGGAACCTTGGGTGGTTTAAGATAACATATCGGTGCTGTAGTCTAGTCTGGATTTTATTATTTGAGGCTAAATAGCAAAAATCACACCATTTACCCTATGGTGTCCTTGAAAGGGTGATGCATGCTTTTATTACCTCTAGACTGGACTACTCCACTTCTCCTCTATGCTGCCTGCAGCTGCTCCAAAAGGCTGCTGTGTAGACAGGCCAGGCACCTTCCTGCTTGATAGCTTTTGAGAAGACCTTGTCGGTCACGAGGAAGGCTGTGGGACCGATCCAGGTCCAAACACTCTTGTCACAATGTGGACCACTGCTTGTCTGAATAAAACAGAATATGAATAAAACCACCTGGATTTGTTTCCTTATACAGCGAAGCAGATGTGATGTTGCTTTACACATTCAAAGCTTTTTTGGACGTGATGAACGCCGACCCAGGTGTGATGCAGTTGGGACAGTCCGAGATGGAGCATGGGAGAGGAGCACTGCCAGCCTCCAGGGTAACCGTTGGTCCGCATAAGTTTCTCTCCACAAAGGGGCGTGTGTCAGGTCCGTACATGTGCTCACCCACCTGGGCAGCTCCTCTTAGGCCATATATCGCCACTGCAGGAAAAGGGTTGTTCCTAAATGCATGCACTCGCATGTGGTACTCTATCACTTCTTTGGAGAAGTCGTCTTTATGCCGGAGGAACCATAAATAGCCTCTGTGGTCTTCTCTCACCAAAAAGCCATAGAACATTAACTGCTGTTACTGCAATAGGTTCTTTCCTGAATCTAAGCAAGACTCCAAGCAAGGTATTATTTAAGTCTGCACTCGGCAACAAGACACTGTTGAGAGAGATGCCACCCTTCTGTGCATTTGAGTCAAATATCACGTGTATCTGGCCCGGTTTTGGGGGGTGGTAGACACCAAAGATGGGTAGGTACCAACATTCCTCATCTTCCACCAGAGGTGGAGCAGTTACTGCATGTTCATTTTCAAAAAGATTTTTCACAAAAACTCTAAACTGATCTTTCATTTCTGGATTTTTGTTCAACGGGCGATGCAGAGAGTGGAGACAAGAAAGAGCTTGAGCTTTGTTGTTTGGTAGACATATCCTAGGTGTTTCCTTAGCTGAAACAACACAAAGGTTTTTTATTTCAATGTGAGAACAGAAACAGACAGTGGATGTATGCTTAATCATGTTGAAGGCTGTAGGCCCGGTGTGGGTCCATGTAATGCATCTGTTCTCTGTAGAAACTGGAACCAGAGTAGATCCTGCAGTTGGGTATATCAAAGCTTTACATGCAGTTACAAGGTCTGACTTCACAGGTTTGACATCAATGTGTTCCTTTTTTCCACTCGCTAAAGGTCTGTTAGCTACCCACAATAGTGGAAGTGGTTGAGTTCCTCACTGGATAAAAGCAGGAAATCATGCTCAGTGTAAATGAGTGTTCTGTGTCAGCTCTGCTGTTTCAACATCGTTAGAGTAAGTGGAGGCTGATGGTTAGCGGGTCTGTTTCGTGATGAACACATTCTAAACTTTGATTCACTAAACTAGCATCAACATTTATTACACACTTCAGTTGAAAAGTAAACAAAGTTGTAAAATTGTCAAAATAGCTACATTTCCTAAGGAAATCGCCGCTAAAACTCCCAGATTTAAGACAAACCAACAAAAGCGTTCCTTTTTCAAGTCCAGTAACACTGTGCAATTAGGAGTTAAAATAGCCAACATGTAACAGACTATACAAATAAAAGATTTTGTGCAAACATCTCTAATCTGTTATAAAAACAAAGTACAAAAACTCTTAGTCACTTTTCTGATGACCAACTATGATTCCTGGGCATTTACATCCTGGTGTTTAGGTCAATGTCACATGACTCTGTTTCCCAGACCACATCATCAGGGTGGTTTTTATTAGGGAGTTAGAAGAAAAGAGCCATGAAAAACGGATAGTGGATGGGCGGCTCCAGACGCTCTGGTCTGTCGGCCATTGAGAACACCTCGTCGGTCATGAGGAAGGCTGTGGGACCGATCCGGGTCCAAACACACTTCTCACACAGCGGGCCGCTGCTAGTCACCCGGTCGGTCTGCATAAAAATTAAAATGTGAATAAAACCACCAGGAGGATTTGGATTTGTTTCATTATAAAGCGAAGCAGACGTAATGTTGTCTTACGCATTTAAAGCTTTGTTTGGACATGGTGAACGCCGACCCGGGTGTGATGCAGTTGGGACAGTCGGAGATGGAGCATGGGAGAGGAGCACTGCCGGCCTCCATGGAAACCCGAGATGTGAGGAAGTATTCCTGCAGACACCAGGATGGAATGGAGCGATGTTAGAAGATAAACAACTGAACAGATATTTCACAAAGGCTGAATTCAGTTTTGCTCGAGGCTGAAAGGTGGAAGATTGTATGCAAATTGTCTTAAGATCCACTGGGTGAATTTTAGGAGATTAACCCATTAACACTTGTTTAATCAGTACATTTGCAGTGATCTCTAGTAAGAACGAATGCCTTGTAAGTCGTACACCGGGGGAAAAATGTCCAGAAGCACCTGCTTCAGCACAGAGTATTCAGCTGGTGGAGAAAGTAGCTTCAGACAACAGGATTTTGAGTCTTTTCCCTGATTATCAGACATCTCACCTCTGATTGGCTAACAGCAATGAGACTCTACCATTGACTTGGTTTACTTTGCAACATTGATGTTTTATCTCCACAAATAACAGAAACCTGGAGGAGTTCTGCTGTGTGGTGGAGTTGCTAATGCTGACAGCTTCTTCTAGGCTCAGACGTTCTCTGTTGTCTCCTGGACGCTAAACCAACAACAGCCTTTACTGTTTCGAGTCAAGATGTGCGAGTCCATGAATGTTGACAGTGTGACATAGATCTGTCTGGCTTTTCAAATCCTAGACTTTCACAGTTTATTTTCTGTTAGCATCGAATGCAGGAGATAGGTGTAGAAGACTATTTCCATGTTTAACCTAGGGCTAGACGATATAGAAAAAAGCAGATCGATATAAAAAAATTCATATTGATCAATATCAATAATTATTAAAAAATATTTTAAAAACTAGAAAGTATATTTTAAGTGTAGCACTGGCCGTTTATGCTATTCCTTAATTAACTACTGTCATTAAAGAACAGACAAAAACTGTCTAAAATTCTATATTTAATGCCTTTTGTAATAGGAATGTACCATGTCAGGAAAAGATTAAAGTGTTAGTAGTTCAATTCATGATTTTTCTCAAATCAAGGAGCAGCTGCAGCACATTACTCACAATATAAAAGGATATTTATGTAACGGAACGACTGTTTCTTTCCCTCCTCTGACACAAGACTAGTCTGCATGAGATACGGTTTCAAGGTCTAATGCATTCCTTCTAACCTGCTTATTTTCAGCTCAACAGAAGAATGAAGAATGAACTCTTTTCTTTTAATTAATCAAAGAACTCTATTTTAATAAAGCTAATCCATCAAAGTGTTAGTCAATGAATAAGATGTGACTGATTTGTGAAATCAAAATATTAATTACTTTATTATGATCCTATAGAATATAATAAGCACTGTGACTTTAAATGTTCCAACAGGACTCATTTCACGTAGCGTTAAAAAGACATAACACATTCCTTTCACTGATCCAATCAGAATCTTACAGATCTGACGGAGGCGTGGTTTTGATGGTGTTTGGTAATTTTTCATTCGACAATAAACCATAACAGCCGAAGTATAAAACTATGCCACGTCATCTCTAACGCCAGTTCAAAGCGTTCCAGAGAAAGTGACGAAGTGGCCAATCCTGATCTAAACTCTTCAACCGAAAGAACCAACGACAAGCTGAAAAATTCATTGTCATTCCAACTGCGGCAACAACTCCTTTCAGAATAAAAGCTGAACCATCAAGACCCAGGCTTGGGTCTCACCAGACGCCAACAAAATTGCTGTGACCCGGACGTATCCCAGGACGGGTGGTCGGTTGCCATGGCTGCTCTACGGGCTCCGGCTCCATAAGGTCAAGCTGGACCTTTACACCTCCTGATCTAGACGGGGACTTCTGCTCAGGGTGTGTAGACTGGCAAATGGTGTCTCATGTGTTTATGAACCTCCTAACCAAAGCTTAATGCGAAGACATCACCTTCAGTTCCCGTCAGAACTAATCGCTTCCTCGGATTTGCTGGTTCTGATTAACATCACACGTCATCCATTCACCGTCTCATCCACTTTAGTTACACCATACATTTAGTTTTAAAGTCAGTATAGTTTAATTTGTTAGTAATAAAATTCTTAACTTTTAAACTTGACTCTCTTCTGTTGTCTCTGAGTGAATACGAAGCGGTTATCTAATCCCTGCATTAAAAAGTTCCACTCTTCTGGTTTAAATAACCTCACAGATCCATAAGGTGGATTTCATATTTCTTATGGACTCCCACGCCTTATGGCTCATTAAATAACACGTAATCTAAAACATTACATTTATTATTTAAAAACATGACAGGAAATGATTTCATACCATCCTGCTTTCACCAGGGCTGCCAACTGTCACACATTGAGCGTGAGACACAATCTGACCCCCCTCTCACGGACAAAGCTGTTTATCGATAGATATACATCATTATTGAACCATTATCCAGCCCAAGTTCAGTCTGTAGACTGATTATCAGAAATAATATTTAAAACTATTTTTTCTGTGTTCCACACCATTAAATTTTCACTTTCTACACAAAAACTAAAAAATAAATTCTGAGTGATCTTGTGTTAGACTGCAAATGATCTGAATGAAACAACAACGAAATCTTAGTTTAGAACTCTGACATAAAATCTACTAGATGTTTCATTTATAATAGTGTTATTGCCAATTTTAAAATCAGCAGACATTATTTGGCATATTAGTAATTAGGGATGTCCCAACAACAATATTTGCCCCAGATACTGGGTAAAGTAAAATGACTTGTGTCTATATCAAGTCTCTATTCCCATTTGCAAAAGTTTAAATCACATACTTGCAGAAAACAGACTGACCAATTACAGTTATTAAATTCATTCCTGTGGGGGATCATTTCTTTCTCTCGATAAAAGTGGTTCTTTCTTTTGGGCCAACACAAATACTGTGTTGTATTACAGAACAGCGGATCTAGAACCAAGTCAACAGTAGAGAAACCAGGAGCTGAGTCTGTGAAAAAGATCCTGATCAGGAGCTTGACTGGATCCCGGCGATAAAGAAATCAGTGTTAGCAGTAGATTGAACATTCTTAGATTGGAGAGAATAAAAAGTTAAACTAGACGCCTAATTTCTAAAGCGACGACTTTGTCTTTTACAGATTACATTCTCATGACTCCTGGTGGCTGTTGGGTGGTTTTACAATCGAACAGACAGACTTCAAAGCTGAGACTGACGATCCTCCAGAGGCAGATTAATCCTGCAGAGGAACAGATGTTCTGACTCTCACAGCCTCAGAGTGGCTGTAAACACAACCACTAGAGCAGTCCCACCTACAGGCTACTGAATGGGGATTCTGATCATTCCTGCAGCTGCACAGCCTCTCTGGACCCTGGAGACAGGGCCATCTGCTGACAGAAAACATGTGGAGACCTGAAGCTGCTTTGGAACATTTCTGACAGATAATCACACACAGCTCCCTAAATGTGTTTCTATTAAACCAAACAGTACAAGAAAAGGATTTCACAATTTCCTCCCAAAGATTAGCTCACAAACTCATGGTGACAATCTGAGGGTTTTGGGGTGAAGACTGGATGAATGATCAGTTTTTACTTCTCCTCAGAGTTTATTATCAGCTGATTTAAAGCACCTGTTTCTGCAGCTAGACATCCTCTAAGAGCAGCAACAGTTTAAATCAACAATGTTTTGTTTGAGTCAATAACTGCACACAAACATTGGAACCCAGCTGTGCTCAAATAGGAAGATTTTTCTCTTTCATTAATAATTGAAGTAAATGATCTTGTAATAATAAACCATTGCCTTCCTGCTGCACTAGAATGTATTAAAAAGGGCTGTATGTCTGTGAAGTTTTCTGTGCACTAGAGGGGGGTGGTGGTGGTGGGGGGGGAGTCTCGTCATCATTTGACTCATCCACATGTGCGCTCTCTCTGTAATAAAACTTTAACAAAGACTTCACAGTGTTTCCTCTAGAAAGACTTCCGCACAGCTTCAAGGAGATTCTGGTCCACCATCAGGCGCCTCGGGAGGGGAAAGCAGTGCACTACCAACACTATTTATAGTGCTGACCTCTAGTCAAGACGTTGTGGATCAGTGGGCAGAATACTTCAAAGACCTCCTCAATCCCACGACACGTCTTCCAGTGAGGAAATAGAGTCCGGGGACTTAGAGATGGGCTCTCTTATTTCTGGTGCTGAGGTCACTGAGGTGGTCAAAAAACTCCTCAGTGGCAAGGTCCCAGGGGTGGATGAGATCCATCCGGAGTTCCTTAAGGCTCTGGATGTTGTAGAGCTGGTTGACACGGCTTTGCAGTTTCGCATGGACATTGGGGGCAATCCCACTGGACTGGCAGACTGGGGTGGTTTCACCCTATTTAAAAAGGGGGACTGCAGGGTGTGTTCCAACTGCAGGGGGTTCACACTCCTGAGCCTTCCTGGTAAGGTCTATTCAGGGGTTCTGGAGAGGAGGGTCCGTCGGATTGTCGAACCTCAGATTCAGGAGGAGCAATGTGGTTTTCATCCTGGTCTAGGAAGAATGAACAAGCTCAATACCCTTAGGGGGATCTTGGAGGGTGCGTGGGAGTTTGCCAAACCAGTCTACATGTGTAGATTTGAAGAAGGCGTTCGACCACGTCCCCCGTGGGGTCCTGTGGGGGGTACTGCGGGAGTATGGGGTACTAGGCCCTTTGATAAGGGCTGTTAGGTCCCTGTATGACCGTTGTCAGAGCTTGGTCTGCATTGCCGGGCTCGTTTCGAGTGAGAGTTGGACTCCACCAAGGCTGCCCTTTGTCACCGATTCTGTTCATAACCTTTATGGACAGGATTTCTAGGCACAGCCAAGGTGTGGAGGGCATCCGTTTTGGTGGCCTGAGGATCAGGTCTCCGCTTTTGCAGATGATGTGGTCCTGTTGACTTCATCAGAATGTGATTTTCAGCTTTCGCTGGAGCGGTTCACAGAAGAGTTTGAAGCAGCTGGGATGAGAATCAGCTCCTCTAAATCTGAGACCATGGTCTTGATTCGGAAAAGGGTGGAATGTAGGGCTGCACGATATTAGGAAAACCTACGATATTCGATAACAGTGCTTAATATTGCGATATCGATATTACTCACGATAAATGAACAAATACTAAAGTATGCAGTGTTGATGTCGTCTGGCGTGTGACGTCTGCTCTGGGTTCAAAGCAAACAAAAACTAATGCATGAATTCCATTACAACATAACATTTTTATTGCAATAACATGCAGCTGCACCTGCTACTGTATTAGCAGCAAAACAACAAACTGCATGCATGCAGTTTCTAAGGGACTTTAAAACATCACTACCACCATAAAACTTTCTGATGCTCCAAATACAGAAAAACATCCCTTACCAGGGTTTTTAGAATAAATAAAAAAATCAGAAAATAAGTTTAAATGTTAAATAATAGTTAACATCACTTAAATGCAACAGCAAATTCTCTCATTGCTACTGAGCATTCTCTCCACTTATGTGGTTATGATATAAGGCTGTTGCTGCAACTGGGAAGTGAACTGTGCTGGGCCAAACTAGGAGAAAATTAAGATTTTCTGAAGGAAAGAGAAAAACAATTGTCTACCTTTCAGAAGAGGAACTGGCAAAAAAAACTACATGGAAAATATGTGAAAACGTTTGTTTTTAACCCCAAATTGAACAAGTTTACCTAGATCTTAAAAAGCAGCTCAGATGATGAAACTGCAACTATGATTCTGATAACAAGCTAACAAACTGAACTAGCTCCTCTTAAGATAAGCGGCTAGCAGAGCTTCTGACTGACAGTTTATGTGCAGCAGCAAATCAACTATCCTGATTAACAAGGTTATAAAAGCTCATAAATGAAAAATCACTTTGATGTATAGGGGAACTTTTCCAGGCCCTCTTTAGCAGGGTGGGACTGGGAGGAGAGTGCTGTAGCCTTTTAGCTGGAAGCTAACCGGAGCCAGAAACCTCAGCACAAAGTGCGTTCGTTAATCTGAGCCAGCATGACGAACAAGGGAAGCGAGCGGCAGCGGAAAGCGGGTGCGGAGCGGAGATAGTGGAATTTTGGGGATACAGTCTGTGCTGGAGCGGGTGAACCAGGCGGCGGCACGGCGGCCCAAAGTAAGCGCAGCCCGGGAAGCTCCGCTCGGCAGCACCGTCTCCGACGCTCTGGTGTTGGCGAGTGGAGGAAGTGGTGGTGCCGAAAACAAGAGCGGTTATGTAGGCTGGCAAACATCTCAACCTTCGGATGGAGACAGCCGAGCAGCGTGGGGCAGCTAGTAGGGGGCGGGCGTATTACGTGAACGGACCCATCTGATTGGCCGCATATCAGAAGAGCTACATTTGATTGGTCAAATAATACTTCCGCGTAAAAAACAGAGCTGGTTTACAAAAAGTTGATGTATGACACGGATGGAAATGTTTGAACCAAACATTTATCGCCGTTTTTGACGTGCTTTGTGATGGGCCTATCGCACGTCCTGTTATCGCGATGACGATAATTTTTCGATATATTGTGCAGCCCTAGTGGAATGCCTTCTCCAGGTCAGGGATGAGGTCCTGCCCAAGTGGAGGAGTTTAAGTATCTCAGGGTCTTATTCACGAGTGAGGGAAAGATGAAGCATAATATAGATGGGCGGATTGGTGCTGCATCTGCCCCTGCGACCCGACTCCGGATAAGTGGAAGAAAATGGATGGCTGGATCTTTTAATAATAAACCACAGCCTTCCAGCTGCACTAGAATGCATTAAAAAGGGCTGTAAACTTTTGAAGTTGTGTATATGTTAGAGGGGGGTGGAGGGGGGTCTCGTCATCATTTGACTCATCCACATGTGCGTTCTCTCTGTAATAAAACTTTAAAAAAGACTTCACGGTGTTTCCTCTAGAAAATGTTCCAGCTGTTGGGCGCGGGGTGCGCGTGCACGCAGAACACTTCGCTTTCGTGCGTCTCCCGTGGGTGCGGCAGAGTTGGAGCGAGGAATGTTTCACTTCAGTGCGCCTCCGATGTGAGTGTGTGAAGGGTGATCTATTGGCGTGGCCTATGTGGGGAAAACACTGCTTCAGCACCTGCTGTTAAATGAACGATGGAAAGGGGCGAGTATTCCATGACCATGTTTGCATTCAAAACCTAGCGTGTTTGCAGATTTGTTACAACAGCTTCAAAATCATTTTGACCATTTTAAGTAAAGTGGCACTGTGTAATTTCCTACAGGGGTGTGGTGCAGGAAGCACGCTGGTAAAACCAGATAGCACGACTAGATAAGAAGGGAGCTTTCAGTGTGGAAAAGCTGAAAGGTAATGAAGTAGACGTGGTGACTGAATAACATTTGGTGAATAAAAGATGTAAAAATTTCAGAAGAATTGTGATAATTTCCTACTTTGGCCACCGTGAGGATTCGCAGGATGTTCTTAGTCAGGACTAGGGAGGTTCTGGCCCGAGTCACCGCCACATACAGCAGGTTCCACTCGTCAGCAGGAATCCTAGCTGTTGGGGAAAAGCAGAAAATATCAGTCAGCTGTTTTAAACATGTGGCAACAAAAAGGAAATAAATGTTTTCTTTATTTAAATCTGTCATGTTTGGTGGTTTAGGCAGATAAAGTCAGATAGATTCATAGATCTGAGTGGCCTGCTAAGTCAGAGTACATTGACTCTGTTACAGGATAACTCTGGGATACTCCTCCTGTTGTGAATTTTACTGAATTGATGGCTGGACAGATCATTTGTGGCCTACACACAGAAACTTACAGAATGAGAAGTCGGGAACTCGGCTGAGGTTGTGTCCAGACGTCGGGATATAGGCAAAGTCATCATTAATGATCACAGTGTCAAACTCCAAACCTTTGGCCTTGTGGACAGTCCCCACGGTAAAGTCTAGTGAGATAAAAAAAAAATCTTAAGTAGAATAGAAAACACAGAATCCTACGGTCATTTTTAAAGAGGCCATATCATGGAAAATCCCCATTTTGGAGCTTTCTATTATGTGATTCTCTTATTTCCTCATAAAAAACAACAATCCTATTTTTGGCTGCATTCATGGATTTTCCTGCCTCAGCTGCAAATTTTCGGATTTCCTGCAAATACAAGGATAGAAACCAAGTTCATCATCAGGCCCTGCTCCTCCTCCTGATGCTAGTCTCAGATCTGGAACCCGCCTCCCCTGGAAGTAGGTCACTAATGCCCACTTTCTCCTAGCAGCGAGCAAACAGCAGTTGATGTCAAGCTATAGCTGAGAATGTTTTAGTCTGTGACATGACTGCTTTAAACCTCCACCGATACCATAGTGGTGATTCTGACAAATTACTTCTGCATTGGGGACAAAATACCACTGCAAGACATGTGTCCTGTTCACAGGGACACACGTAATGGCCAGCACAGGATATGTATGTACTGGTCTCAGCAGTAAGTTTTTTTTTTTTTCGGTTACACTTGCCAGTATTTTGTTTTCAACCATTTACTGATAAACTATTAAAAATGACCTAATCTTTTTTTATTACTTTGCTTATTTAGCCAGTGTGAGTACATGTGAGGTGAGTAAATCAACTAAAATACTGCTTGGAAATGTCCAAATTCAAAGATCTTTAGAGACAAAATATTTTGCAGGAAATAATCAATAAAATATTTTAAAAAATGAAATTGCTTCAGTTGGCCAAGTAAATTACTGCCAGCATGGGGAATGGAACACCGGCCCAGGTGTACACCACGTGTGAGTGGGTGTGTTTCTACACACACCTGCTTCATGTAAGCTGACTTCGGAGCAACCTTTCAGCCGGGCCACCAGTTCAGGGATGCGCTTTTGGTATTTCTCCACAATGATCACTTTCCCGTCCAGCTCCTTGTCATCGGTTTGTGTGACGTACTTCTTAAAGGCCAGGAAGGCGCAGTCTTCTCTCATGGAAAATGACCGAATGATTGCATCTTTGATCACTTGTGGAAAGAACAAAACCAACATCAACGTCAAATGTTCAAAGGTGCAGTATGTAAGAATATAGTGAGAATTTTACAGTGAGAAAATCCCAAAGTGTCTAATGTTTCAGTCATTTCGAAAGCAGCTTATACTGAAACATGTTTCATATCCAGCTGGCTGCTTGATTGTCAGTTTTTCTCCTTTCAAAGCAAAGGAAGGAGGGACGTAACTACCATTTATCATCAGTGAGTGTGGGGGTGCCGTGTCTCCTGAGAGCTAACACTGCAGCGCTGACAACTGTAATTTGACGAAGGACGGCAAAAAGCTCCAGAGTTGTTTAAAGTGGTTGCAGTAACCACATTTTACCACAGGATGTCATTTTTACTTCATTTATACATAATGCACCTTTAACTATAATGTTTATGGAGTCCAGGGCTGAATAGTGGCACAGCTGCTAGCATGGTTGCCTTGCAGCGAGAAGGTCGCTGGTTCGACTTCCACCTGGGAAGCCTTTTTGCACAGTCATGTTATCCTCATCCATGAGTGGGTTTTACTTGGGCACACCAGCATCCTCCCACAGACAAAAACATGTACTCCAGGCTGATTAGCGACCCTAAGTTGTCCCTAGGTGAGTGAGGGTGTCAAAGGTTGTGTCGTCTCTGTGAGGGACTGACAGCCTGTCCAGGTTGTCCCCTAACTTTCACCTGCCGACCTACGAAGACATTCACTTATGGATGGATGGTTTCAAGAATCCTGATTTCATTTGATTTAGAGGTAAAAATGGTAACGGAAAACAAAATGAAACTAGCGGTTTCCTCTTAGAACAAAACCAGTAATTTCTAAAACATTAATACCTGTTTTGTAACATTTATTAATTTGACAAGTAAAGATTCACAAATGTCTCTACTTTCTGACCAAGTGAAACAGATTTATGACAAAAACCTACAAACAGCTCAACTTTGATCAGTAAACAGATGAAAACCTGCTGATGAGTGACCTGAATGAATCTTACATCTTGATTTCTCGTTCTTGTTCTCCTGAGTCATCAGATGGTAGACGTCCATGATCTTGTCCAGCCCAGCGTTTTCCACTCCCTGCAGGAAAATACGGATGAGGTCTGTTGCTTTATTACAGCACACCAAATTAAACCTTAAGTCTCAACTTCCAGAGCATCTCCTCTGACCCCAAAGTGTACTCAGATGTGAAGTTCATCCATAACTTGTTTTGTGAGAGGATGAACTCACCCCGATGAAGTGGACGCGACAGTTCGGGTTAGCATCTGTGAGCTGCACTGCTCCTTTAAAGACGCCGGAGTTGCATCTGGACAGGATGCCGATCTTCCCTCTAGCTGAACTTACTCCCGTCCTCATGGCCTCCAGCGCCTTGTTAGCCATCTCATCACACACTCCGCCTACAGAACCAACAGTAAAATCAGCTGATGATACAAAGATTAAGAATTGAATTACCTTTGTATGAATGACAATTATCAATGCCAACAATAAATGGCATGTTTCTACTAATTATCCGTACAAAGAAACAGCAGGTTATGTAGGTTATTTGTCTGGATATTTGCAGTAAACATAAAATGTTGAATGTTCTATAAATCACTTATTTTGCAAGTGGTCTCTTACTGTTTCTTATTAAAGACACATTCTGTGATAAATATATTATAAATAGCTTTTCATTAGTTGGACTGATTTATGTAGACTTGTAATTTAGACCTAAAGTAAACCACAAAATATCAATATAATACTACTAGGGATAAAATAATTAACTATTTTAGCTTGACCAACAATGAAATATCTGATTCAGTATTTTCTTCCTGGTCTGTGAACGCACCATTGTTAAGCAGCAATCAAACGTCCAGACAGAGACAGAAACTTGTTTTGAAACCTTTTTGAAGCTTCTTACCATGAATCATGAACACACATTTTCATCCCATCCAGAAATAATGGTAATTTAAAAGTTCGCTGATAATTAGAGTTCTTAAATCTACACCTTCAAACAAAACTGCAGTGGCTTGTGCGGGTCTGTGAGCTGAGAGGACTGCAGGATTTAAAACCATCAAGCTACTAGAAGACAACACACCCTCCTGCTTTCCTCCAACAAGAATCTTCTGAACCCCCTTGCACACTTTGAGGATGGTGGCGCCCACGTAGGCGATCTCTGCGCCGAACCGGAAGCTCTGGACAGAGAAATCAGGAAAACTCGGGTTCAGTTACCAACTGCTCCGCCAAGCAGCATTAATGCTGCAGAACTCAACAGGTTTTATAAAAATTACTCACACACATTTTGCCTGCATTTAAACAGCCTTTGGAACCAAATTATTTTCCGTTTGATTTAGAGCGATTTTAATAGCACACTATACAGCAGCTAAAATTAGATAGTGACATAAGGTCTTAATGCATTGTGGGATGTGGCCCTGGACAAACTAGCGTGTATGTTGCATGGCGCTTATGGGTCTGAGTCGCTGCACTTGTCTCAAAGTTGTATTTTCGTCTAGTAAAGATGGTCATACAGGAAGGAACAGATATAATATATATAATAAATATAAATATATAATAAAATAATTTTGTTTAATAAAACTACTAAGAGACTCGGGAAACTCCCAAAACACTTCAGTGTGAGCGATATGCAGCACACACACCTCACACTGCAGTGCACACTGTAGTCTGTTTGCTTCAGCTGTGTTCTCTAGGAGTGTGAATCTCACAACTCACAATTCAATTTGATTCATATCGACTCATACTAAATACTCTGTGTGTGTGTGTGTGTGTGTGTGTGTGTGTGTAAAAAGGAAACGAGAATACGATGTGTCAGTATATGTGAAACATCTTAAATAAACAGGTTTTATAACATGCAGTAGCATTCACATACACCAGTAACATTTATGGTAAATGGCCTGTATTTGATATAGCACCTTCTAGGGTCCTGGGACCCCCCAAGGCACTTTACAACACAATCAGTCATTCACACATTCACACACAGGTGGGAATGAGCTAAATTGTAGCCCCAGCTGCTCTGGGACTCACTGACAGAGGCGAGGCTGCCGTACACACGCGCCACAGGTCCCTCTGACCACCACCAGCAGGCAAGGTGGGTTAAGTGTCTTGCCCAAGGACACAACGACAGCGACAGACTGAGCGGGGCTCGAACTTGCCACCTTCTGATTACGGGGCAAGCACCTAACTCCTGTGCCACTGTCTTCATCTTCATCATTGAAGATGAAGACTAACAAGCGTCAGTAATGCACGGTGCAGTCTGCATGAAACAAAATTGAAACTAAACAGGATACCACTATTTAAACATTATAAAACACAGAGGAACTTACTTTAACACAGCACTCATAACATAACACACATGCAAACAGCATTACAGTGACATCTCTGCATTGGGGGCCAGAGGGGCCGGGCCCCACCAGATGGCGCTGTGAGGCTCTATGCTTAAAATAATCAGTGCAACAGAATGGTTTGTTTTTGAGTAATATTGAATAAAAACCCATTCTGTCACCAAGAAATCTCCTAAAAACATTTGTGTGTTTAAATCAAAGTTTTTGCCATGATACTGACAAGCTCAGTGGACTTATTCCTCTTGAAAAACCTGAGAAGGGGCCGTTGTTGTGCCATTTTAAATGAGGAAGATCTGAAATCACAGCGCACATACTCAACTCAGTCTGAATAGTAAGCCGTAGTAGGACCCAGAGACTCCAGCCCCAAGCTCAGATCATCCAATCAATGGATGAGAATAACACACTGGAGCTTTCCGTTCGGTGGACAGCAGCAGCCATGCTGGTCATGCTGGTTAACTAACAAGAAGCAACAGAAATAATGAAGAGAACATTGCCACTTGAACAAAAGTTAGAGATTAATTAAATATTATGAAAGGGCAACGTTGCGGTTGGACCGGGGGTGGAGAAGGGAAGAGGGGAGCACCGGCTGACGGGAGGGTGCTCAGCTGGAAAGCCTCCATCAGTAGGGGATCCCTGGATTAAACTTTAGGGATAAATGGACTTTGATGAGTTAGTGAGAGGTTTCTCAAGATGAAAGATCAACATTCAAGAGCTGAACAACAGTGGTGAATGACGCTTTATTTGTAATGTCGTGTTTGCTTGCTCTGTGAATGAAAAATGAGTCTTCATATCAGCTTAATTCAAGGCCCGAGATACCAGAGCATCCTAGTCTATCCCATAGGTTTCACACTGCCCCTTGCCTTCAGAAGTAGATAAGACAGGTGGAGATGTTGGTACCTTGATTTTGTCTGAACTCATTGTTAGAAACCTCTGGATGGGTTGAAAAAAATGCATCAGAGCCTGCAGACCTTCAATCTGCAGGACACACACTCTCTTGTGATGACTGTATTCCTAATGCCATATGGAATTGAAGTGCATTTTATTGAATCCAGGACAGATTCCTCATTGTTTCAATAAGTCACAAATAAAATTTTGCAACATAAAGAACAAAGCCAGACGGTGAGAAGCAGGAGCCTGGATGTCCAGCGAGGAAGAGCAGACAAAAACATTTCATTTTAGGAGTATCAATGCTTGGAAATACAATCATATGGCAAAAATATCTCTGGATGTCACACCCAAAGGCACGAAAGCACCCTATCAAAGGTACCAGAGGTGTCTTGTTAGTGTGTTGTGGATGTATAATAATCACAGTTCTGCGAACTTGAGCCTTTACCTGTGTGAGGTAGAAGATGTGGGTGTGGCTAGCAGTAGTTAGGGCATTGACGGCTCCTCTGAAGGTGTAGATCTGCTGGTGTGGATCTCCAACTAGGATCTTCCCACAGCGCTGGGACAGCAGCACATCCATGATGGCTGAGATGATAAAAGAAGCCCACAGTGATGTCACAGAACTCCGAGAATACAAACTAATAATGACCCCTACAGTACCAGGTGTGCAGTCCTGAGCCTCATCCAGGAAGATCACATCGTATTGGTCCGACAGGCGTCGCTTTGGTTTACTGAGCTGCCATAGCTTCATGTAACCTTCGAAAAAAGAAGACTTCATTAGTAATCTGCCTCTAATTACCTTCATTTTTAGGCATTACACTTATTTCAGTACCATCGTGGGTCATGTAATAAGCCCGCTTCGATTTCTCATTGATGTCTGTCATTTTGCCCCAGATGGTTTGTGCATCTTGGGCAAACAACTGGAAGAAAACCAAAAAAAAAAGGAAAAAGATGCAGCATGTGAACTCAGTTTATCTGTATTCTGTGGCTGATTGTGGGCCTGAATACCTGCTGGTTTTCAGAATCGATGACCGTCCGGCGGCCTTTGTGAGTGACGTAGTCAAAGGGGACGTGTCTGGTGCTAATGGTCGGGTCTGCTGAAGCCATGAAAGCACTGAGAGTTGTAGCGATCACTTTAGCTCTGACGAAGCCTCCGCGTCCCGCCGGCAGGGCAAAGTTGATGGAGAACGGATACAGGTTAGGAGTCATCTTTGGTTTGTATCTGACACAGGAGAGAACACACTCAATAGCTAACACAAGAAAACCAAACTATATCAAAAACAAGACAACCTGTTTATTGATTCACATTCAACTCATTTAAACCTTCATAGGTGTGCTTACCTCCAGCCAACGTCACGGTAAGCTAACGAGTGGACGGTCTTGCAGTCCACGTTGCTGGGGAAGCGACGTCGAGCCTCAGAGGCCACCGAGCTGTTGAACGCCACGTAGAGGAACCGGATGTGCGGCCGCAGCTCGGCGTATTTTATCAGAGTGGTCGTTTTCCCGGTTCCTGTGGGTATGACACTCAAGAAGGTTAGAGGGCTGTTCCACGAAGCGAGCTCAGAAAATCAAGGCTTTTTATAAAATGCCTCGCTTGAAATAGCACCCTGGTAATGTTTATGTATTCAGCAGATGCTTTTGTCCAAAGCAACATACAAGTGATAATCAAGCCAGCAGGTTGCCCTTGAGGCTAACAACAAAGCCTGTTAAGCGATGCTAGATAAAGAAGAATGGAAGGAAAGTACGTCGTTCTTCTCTCAGACGGAGCAAGAATTATTCCTTCATGCCTATGAGGACAACAAAGAGATCAGAACTAAACTACAGACCTCCAGCTGCTTTAGATGCCGTGTAGATAGCGATATTTAATTAGAAATCTGAACACCAGATGTCCGCAGCTCTATTCTTCCACATATTTTATTTGAGTTTTCATCTTTTATGTGTCGTTTTTCATGTTCTGTTCCAGAGTCTGGATGTTTAGAGACCTGGAGGTGTTGTTTCTGCTGAGCAGCTGTGAGTTTCAGGAGTTTGTGGTGGTCACGTGACCCTTAAGTCTTGAATGCTGTACAGGGATTCCCAAAGTGTGGTGCGCACACCCCTGGGGGTGCGCGAGCTACCGCTAGAGGGTGTGCGAGGTGAAAAGTGTAATGGCTGCCGAGCTCAGAGAAGTCTGTCTTATGTCACCATTAGTGTAGCCAGAAACTCATTTGTGGGTGGGCCTAAGAAAAAGTAAGTGGGCCCAATAAATGCAATTGAAAACAAGTATATTTTTGTGTGTGTGTGTGCGTGTCCTCCACATGTGCCCTAGCTTCATAATAACAATGCGCCGAGCTTCAGCACTCTGGCCTGCGCACGCCGATATGTTCCGTATTTGATCATTTTTAACAGTGTTGGAGTAATCTGAAGGTGGTGAGTCATTCTGGCAGATTGTAATTAACACCTGTCTCATGCAGGTGTTCTGACATTGTAAACCTCACACACAGAACATTGTGGATGTAACAAAATAAATCAAGAAATTATTCTTTTAACAGCGCACTGAAGATCTGAAGTTCAGAGCGCGTCTGTCAGTCAGACGCGTTCCAGCGGAACCACGGCTCACGGGTGCACATGTGAGCACATCTGGGCTGGGCAGAAGTCATTTTACAACATTGGTTTAAATAGCACCAATAACAAGACGCGGTGACTGGAGCGGCTCATGGAGCTGTGCCGCGCGCGCACACACACACGCACGCGGACACACACACACACAAACTCCGGCGCTGTGCCGTCAGACTGAAGACAGAAATGAGCGCTGCCTCCTCCGTGATAAAAGAAAAAAAACTTTTAAGAGGTTTTAAAACATTTTTCATTCCAGATCTAATTAAGATATTAGCTTCTATTGTGGGATGACGTATTAAAGTCGGGTCCGCTCCAGCCAGTGACTCTGAACTTGACCATAACTCATGTTACTGCAGCATTTGTTATTCCAGTCCGCGTGGCAGCGGATCGCAGATTCAGCCACACCATAAAACAGCAATAAGTCGGTCTGAGGCAAAAGTGAACCTCATGGCTTTTCCATCTTTTCCCCTACAGACATTTGATTACGCACAAGTAGGTGACCAGCTCAGGTTTACGCAGAGCAGAAGGAAGGAGAGAGCTCTGGCCGCACAGGTTAAACGTTCCTACTTTAAGAAAATCGTTAAATTGCATTTTTTAATGTGCTACCTGGGCACTCTAAATGTTTATTTAAAATTAAATAAAAGGAAATTGTAATGGTATCGAATGTTTATTAATTACTATTTAAAAAATGAAAGTGTTGGGGAATTTTTTTAACCCTGTCTGTTTAGCTTGACATCTGATATATATATATATATATATATATATATATATATATATATATATATATATATATATATATATATATATATATATATATATATATATATGTATATAGCCATGCCCTGATGTGGGGGCTGGGGGGTGCGTCGACATGGTCGGGACATAGAAGGGGGTGCGCGGCTAAATAAGTTTGGGAACCACTGCTGTACACCGTCACAAAATATACTTAATAATGCTGACATCAGGAGCAACATCAGTGGAATGAAACGGTTCTGCCTGCAAATGAAGGTTAAATACAAAAAAATGTTACCATGCAAATCCAGCTCAATTTTAAAAGTTTAAACTGCACATTTATCAATATTTAGCCATCAAGAACACAGCTGCAGCTGCTGCAACCGCTGTGGGCCAGCAGTGGCACTAATCCACCTCGTAGCTGCCAGCCACAGACAAGAAAAAGGGGAGGTAACATGCCTCGACAGATCATTATCACCAGGTGTGTCCTCCAAAATGTGTTACCATGGTGAATGGAACACAGGCTGGAATGGAATAGGCTTCAGGTTAGCCTCGTCTGTGGAACCGAATTGGGAAAATTACGGCTGGGATTGAGTGAGCCTGGCTTTTGGGATTAGCTTGCTTCGTGCAACTGACATCAGTTCAGAGGACTAAACAGGAGAAAGGTTTGTCCTGTGTGTTTTTCTGACCACAAAACATCCCCTGAACCTCTGCACAGAGTTTAATAAAACTATCTTATGTGTGTTCTTGCTGTGTCTTTGTAAATCCATGCTTTACATTACACGCTGGACCACGCATGGGACTGCATCGTTGGAGAGGGGAGAGCGGGCAGTAGAGGGCGACAACGTCCTCTGCTGCCCGCAGATAAACGGAGAAGGAAGTGACGCGCCACCATCAGCGTCAGCCTGAAGAAGCCGGCAGCTGTCGGCGAAACCGTAGCTACAAACAGGTAAACAAAACTGTTTCTGTGTTTAAAAAAGAACGAAAGCATGGATTAATAAAACTATCCGATAGGGTCAATTTTTAAAAATATCATGTGCCATTTGACACTTTACAGACAGATCTGGTGGTGTGTGGTGGATTACACACACACACACACACACACACACACACACACACACACACACACACACACACACACACACACACACACACACACACACACAAAATAAATGAATAATAAACTAAAGAAAATAAAGCCTTTAGCATAAACTTTGTCAGCATTACAACCACTTTCACAAATCATCTCCATTTCATTCATTCCTTCCACACATTTGGGCGTTTCCAACCAGAGAGTGGCTGGAGGAGTCATGTGACTCTTCAAACATGCCAACAAGAAGTGGAGAAAGTGCTCCCTCTAGTGAGTGGAACACTAATAACCCAAAGCTAGTAACATTTCTGTTACATCTGATGGATTTCATCAGGATGACATGAATAATGTCTCCATGAAGCTCCTATGTGGCGTGTACCAGTTGTCCTGTTGTGTTGAAAGGCCGTAAACCAGAGGTATCTGATGAGACCCCCACCCCCTCTTACCTGTAGGGATGCACCGATGGATCGGCATTTGATCCCAATCGGCCGATAGCCCCCCTATCGGTTTTGATCGGAGTTTTCAAAATAGATCAAAGCAGACCGATATTACAGACCGTTTTAGATTAGGTTACGTTTCCTTTATTCCCAGATTATGTAGTTTGTAGCACTCATTATAATGTTGTAGAAAATTTTTGGCCAATCCACGTGATCGGTATCGGTGATCAGCATTCTTTGATATCGGTATCGGTAGCAAAAAACCTGATCGGTGCATCCCCTCTTACCTGCAAACGCTATGATCTTGACCACGTGCTCGGGCTGGATGTCATGACTCAGGATTTGCTGCTGCTCTCGTGTGAGCTGAACCTGAGGACACCTGATGTGTAGAAACACAAACAGCCTGGTAAACATCAAACGGTCCCTCTGGTTGTCCCGCCTGCATCAAGTCAGGAAACTAACAGGAATCAGCAGAAATTCCTGTTCTTTGGGACAAAAACCGTTCAGGATTTCTGAGTGTTGTGAAAATAACCAATTTAAACCATACTAATTAACCAGTATCAATGCGTTGTGATGTAATAATGCACTTTTGTTGATGCTGAGCTTTAGGGATGTCCCAAACACCAGAGACACATCCAGGGGACGTCCCGACTACGGCTGAAATGTTAGCAGACATAACTGATGATGTGGATTTGAAAAACGCATCATTGATGCAGATTTTTATTGTCCACAGATCATGATCCGTGTTGGCCAGACTGCACACAGCTCTGAGACAAGATCCTCCCGCCCCACGGCTGGGCCTACAGACTGATAGGGTGATAAAATAAACAACAAGCTCACCATGGACCGAGAGGCTTTGACCCGTTACACTGATCAGAAATCTATATTTGAGTTTAATTCTCTCAGCAGTCTGCACTGTGCAGAGCCGACTGTCGCCGCTGCAATGAGTCAGAATGAAATCTCCTCCAGAGAACTCACCCAGTCTGATCAGAACTGACAGAAAAGGGTCCATTTTCCAGCAGGTGAAGCACATAGTAGATGTTGTAATGCAACCTGGAGAGGATGTGAAAACCAAGAGAAATTACAGCTGAATGAAAATAAAATGAGGTCCAAACACATGGGTGTGGTAGGTGGTACCGGTTGCTAATGTGAATCCCGTTCCTCTCCAAAGCCAGCAGCATCATGGCCATAAGGCTAAGGTACTCTGTGATGGATGTTTGTGACATGCAGCCAGAGAGCAGGGACACCAAGGCCTGGACGTCCCCCACGCACTCGCTGAGGATCAGTATCACAGCCATGGCTGCATATGGGTTGGGACCCTGGAAACACAGATTCACTCTAAGGAAGCTCTTCTGGTGCTTTTAAACATCACAACTAGGACTGGGTGATAAACCGAAAGTTTATCGTTACAGAAGTTTATGACGGTATCTTTTGGAAATAAAAAAAAATGAAAAGACGCGAGTAGGTTACTGATGGGTCTTGTTAAGATGCCGCGGCACAGACCGGTGGAGTCATGTGACTCCATCCCATCCAGTCTGTAAGAAAAATGAGAAATGGAGGATGATTCAAATACAGAAGAACTGGGCTTCTTGTAGGTCCTTGCTGAGTCACTTGCTACTTGCAGCTGCTTGCCGTTGGCGGCACGCCTCCACTGGCTGTGGAGCAATTATGCTGCCACAGCCCCATCTAGTAGACGTTTGTTTTTGCACATACATGTAATTATCATCCAATCATTATCGAGGTGAACTCCTCAATATGTCGTGATATTGATTTTAGGCCATATCGCCCAGCCCTAGTCACAGCACAACTTTCCTTTATCTCACACCTCAATGTCAAGGTGAAGAAACTTCTTGATGTCAGGAATACGTAATCTGATGGAGGCTTCAGCCTGCGGGAAGAGGCGGTGCTTCTTAACACACTCCAGAACATCCTCTGGTCTCACGCGCTCCCTGGCTTTATGCTGAGCCATTAAACTGAAACACACACACAGTAAAGTACCGTGTTAATGTAAGTACCCAACAATCAGACAAAGAGACAACACAACTCCATGCGATGGAAACTCACACCACGAGGTTCCGTAGGCTGTGCTCTGAAGGAGGAGGCCCTCTTATGTTACTGTTCCTCAGGGTGGCGTTGACCTCCAGCACCATCTCCTTCTCTCTCATCGTGTAGCGAAAGTATTGTTTCTTAAAAGGCACAAACTGGGAAAAGGACAGAAATTTAAATTAGGCTCAAACCCAAGCAGATGATAGTGAAAAGAAGAAAACTTTCCAACTGTAGAGAGAGCTTTATTAAAAGCTAGTTTAAGATTAAGCTAGTTTACAAATCGTTGTCTTGATGCTTCCTCCTGAGGGTCTTTAAGGTCTTTGCTGTTCTGGTCTACATACGAGATGTTTTCATTAGATTCCTGAAGAACATTTGTGAAACTGTCTGGTAGGGATGTAAGAAAATATCGATATGGCAATATATCGTGATATTTTCTCCAACAATATTATATCGATATTCAAAAGCCGTGTATCGGAAATATCAATATGGCAATATATCGTGATATTTTTCCCTGCAATTATTACATTGATATTCAAAAGCCGTGTATCCAATTCTTGAAAGAATTTACATGCAAACTTTTGTGTATTTTCTTTTCGTTTTGTGCAATTCAATCGCCACCCGCTAGTTGGCAGCAGTGTGCAATGGGTTTTGTTTCCACCATTGAACTGTAAATCCCTCCATCATGGTTCAGATACCTCATGTTAAACATGTTAAGTATCAGTTTGGACTGTTTATTGAACATTCTTACAATAAATTCAGTTAAAAAAAATGCTTTTAACGTCTGACTGAATATATCGCGATATATCGTATCGTCTCCCCTGTATCGTGATATGTATCGTATCGCCAGAATTTCAAAAATACACATCCCTGCTGTCTGGCGATCAGATTTAGGGATGTACCAAGAGTGCAGGACACTTCCTTTAATTTCCTCTTTTGTTTCATTTAGTCTTTTTCTTTTTAGACAGAAGCAGCTTTTTACTCGATCCTAAAACCACCGATCTTCTCCATCTAAGATACGAACACTAATGTCTTTACGAGTGTGTCCAGTATCATGTAGCCCTTTTTAGAAGACACACCATGTGGGCAAATCAGCGTAATACTGCTGCCACGGTGTGTCTAATGAACGTGCCGTGGCAGCATGGCGTTGCAGGAAATTTGTGGCATTCGTGCTGCCACGCTTGGTAGTAATGTTGCTGCAAGGCCGGACTTGTGGATGCATATTACCCCTTGGCGCGACAGAGGGAGGTGTCATGATCACTGTCGAACTCCGGCCGGAAGCTAAATTGAAAATGAAAGTAAATACGACTATAAGGTTCACTTTTGTAAACAGAACCAGCTGAGGTGTTAAACGGGAGCGATGCAGCGCTCCTGGAGCCTTTCTCCATTAGATCTGAAGATCAGATCACCAGAGACTGCACGGGGAATGAGTGCGGCTTCAATCGCAATAAAAAAGCAAGTCATGATAGAAGAAGATAGAAGATAAATGGAAGTCCACGGCAGCGCAGAGACCGCCCCATACCCTCTTTATGCCGCCATTGTGTAATCTTTTATAAAAAAAAAACATGATTGCGCCAAATTACCGCCAAGGTCTGACCACTTATAAATCAACAAAGGCTCCCAGCGGCCGCCACAGCTTTGAGGCATATTGGCAGCATTGTTTTCTAAAAGATTAGAGGTCAACCGATAGACGCTGATATGTAGAGGTAACGGTCAAGCAATGGCTGATGTAGGGTTTGGTAAATTGAGTACTTTAAGAGCTCAATATATATTTTACCTCTACTTATGACCAATAAGCTGTAATACTGTATCTAAATATAGAATATCACCCTGCCTGGTCTTTATTGGGCTTTAATCAGAAGATTCTAGGATTCTTTATTTATTAGGGGATTGTACACACTTCGTTTTGATTCAGAAAACAGGTTTATAAAAGTAAGAATTTACTTTACAAACAATTAAAACATGACAAGTTAACTAAGCATTTAGTGATGGATGGAACTAGATGTGATGTATGGACCCTATGTGTGAATGCGATGTTAGAACTTCCGTATCTAGGAGAGCTGAGTTCTGGATGTAAAAGAATTTGGTTTGCGTTAAGCTATGAGTTGATTATTATCAAAAACCACATCAGACGCTATCTCACTGTGTTCTACGTACCCAAGTGGAGACGCCCTTTTCGGATCCGAGATGTCAGGGGGGTCAGAGGCCCCCAGGTACAGAAGTCCGTAGATCAACTTGCAGTACGACCAGGTCAGTCCAGAGTCATCTCCAGGTAACAACAGTTGGGACTAGTTTGCGTCTCAGTAATAACTCTTAAGGAGTTGAACAAATCAACTCGTTCTGCAGGAACTATTTTGTTGTATCAGCTTTGCAGGTGCAAAAAGGTTTTGACGACGTGTCAAAATCTTTCACCAGAGCGATCTGGTTTTAATGTTCTCATGTTATGATTGTGTAGCCAACCAGAGGCTGACAAGTTTGGGGGATATTTCCAAGAATCTCAGAAACGCCTTCTTCGTTACCGGATGCTCTGATCTGGATAAAAGGCTGTGTGTCAGAGTTTAACTTAACCTTACTTTGTTCTTGCGTGAGTGCAATATGGTTATGACCTTGTCAAGTAAACATGCTGAAACATACATCATCGAGCACAGATTAATGAAACATCTCATTATTTTATAATTATTATAAGTAGCAATAAACAGACGTTTATTTAATGATTTTAAAATCTTCTTTTCTTCTTTCTTCTGTGAGCAAGGAGACTTAGATAAAGGGGTTGCTCTGTGAGGGACCTTGGAAAGAACAGGATGTCAATGTTATGATTTTGTTATCTCTGTCAGAGCTGCAGGCTCTGAGCTCCAGCTGGTGTGAGGAAGGCAGGCTGATTTAAAGGGAGCACGTGCAGTCTCGTGTCTCCTTTTTGACTAGATGTTGAATGGTCAAACAGTACCTAAAAACTGACCATTGCTGGACGTTACACTGATCTCTGGATGTTTTGCACCTGGTAATAAAATAAAAGTTAATGAAACTAATCAATAAACTGACCAAGCAACAAATACACAAAACATGTAGAAATCCCAACTGACAATATTGTTTTAGGGCATTTACTAAACAGGAACATAAATAAGTGCTACAGCAGCACCAAGCTGCCCACACATGTGCCTGACTCTAAATCAGCTCCACTAAAGAGGTGCATCAGCCAGATATATCACCTGAAGAGCTGAATGTTAGGTTAGTCTCTTGAGAAAAGGTCTGAGCACTCCTCTAAACCAATCCTATGCTCAGCTTCTGTTTGGATGATCTGATTTTAACGAAGACACTTTAAAGGCTCATGAAACATCTTTCAGAAGAAGGCATTTGAACCTGCCAGGATTGTTGAGCCCTGGAGGACTGAACCTTCACCAGAACTCAGACCTTTCTGATCTTATTGATCTTTTCATCTCTGTCGTTGTCATCGTCTTCCTCCGCTTATCCAGGTCCGAGTCGCGGGGGCAGCATCCCAACTAGGGAGCTCCAGACCGTCCTCTCCCCGGCCTTCTCCACCAGTGACTCTGGCAGGACCCCAAGGTGTTCCCGGACCAGATTGGAGATGTAACCTCTCCAACATGTTCTGGGTCGACCCGGGGGCCTCCTGCCGGCAGGACATGCCTGAAACACCTCCCCAGGGAGGCGTCCAGGAGGCATCCTGACCAGATGCCCAAACCACCTCAACTGGCTCCTTTCGATCCGGAGGAGCAGCGGTTCTACTCCGAGTCCCTCCCGAATGTCTGAGCTCCTCACCCTATCTCTAAGGCTGAGCTCGGCCACCCTACGGAAGAAACTCATTTTGGCCGCTTATATCCGCGATCTCGTTCTTTCGGTCATTACCCAAAGCTCATGACCATAGGTGAGGATTGGGACGTAGATCGACCGGTAAATCGAGAGCCTGGCTTTCTGGCTCAGCTCCCTCTTCACCACGACAGATCGGCTCAGCGTCCGCATCACTGCAGACGCTGAACCAATCCGCCTGTTGATCTCCTGATCCCTCCTACCCTCACTCGTGAACAAGACCCCGAGATACTTAAACTCCTCCACTTGAGGTAGGACCTCTCTCCCGACCCAGAGTTGGCAAGCCACCCTTTTCCGGTCGAGAACCATGGTCTCAGATTTGGAGGTGCTGATCCTCATCCCAGCCGCTTCACACTCGGTCGCGAACCTACCCAGCAAGAGCTGAATGTCAGAGCTGGATGAAGCTAGGAGGACCACATCATCCGCAAAAAGCAGAGACGAGATTCTCCTGCCACCAAACTCGACACACTCCACACCACGGCTGCGCCTAGAAATTCTGTCCATAAAGGTAATGAACAGAACCGTTGACAAAGGGCAGCCCTGGCGGAGTCCAACCCTCATCGGGAACAGGTCCGACTTACTACCGGCTATGCGGACCAAACTCACGCTCCTCTGGTAAAGGGACTGAATGGCCCTTAACAGAAAGCCGCCCACCCCATACTCCTGGAGCGTCCCCCACAGGGTGCCCCTGGGGACACGGTCATAAGCCTTCTCCAAATCCACTAAACACATGTGGATTGGTTGGGGAAACTCCCATGCCCCTCCATCACCCTTGCAAGGGTATAGAGCTGGTCCACAGTTCCACGGCCAGGACGAAAACCACATTGCTCCTCCTCAATCTGAGATTCAACTATCGATCTGACCCTCCTCTCCAGTACCTTGGAGTAGACCTTTCCAGGGAGGCTGAGGAGTGTGATCCCCCTATAGTTGGAACACACCCTCAGGTCACCTTTCTTAAAGATGGGGACCACCACCCCGGTCTGCCACTCCACAGGAACTTCCCCCGATGACCACGCAATGTTGCAGAGACGTGTCAACCATGACAGCCCTACAACATCCATAGCCTTGAGATACCCAGGACGAACCTCATCCGCCCCCGGGGCATCTCTGTTCACTCCTAACTAACCCACACTGTGTTGAGATTTTTGTCTCACCGTGGGATCCTGAACGATGTTCCTCCACCGGTGGCACACGAGGCTGACGTTCCGATAGAGGTCGGCAGCAGGAACCTGACACAGCACCTGCCTCAGCACCTCCTCTGGAAGGTCATCCATGCAGCCCTGTGGCTGGAGCAGGGCCTTGCTGCTCCCCAGGAGCCCAAAGTGAGCATCAGGAAGGGGCTCCACCTCTTCCTCTTGGTTACAGCATTCATCAAATTCCCCATCAGCTCCAAACATTTCAGCTGTCATCCCCTCCAGATAGTCCTCTGCCTTCCCATCACGCTCAGGTATCATCCTAGCACCTGACGCGCTGGCCTCTTCAAAGGGACAGTTCTCTGCAGCTAGCAGACAGTCGTCATCGACCTCATCTTCTGCCTTTGGCTCATACTCCAACGGGGTAGACAACAGGCTCTCATCATCATCATCTTGTTCTTCTTCCACCAACTTAGAGCCTTCTTTAGGAACTGTAGACGTGGAAGGCAGAGAGGACTTTTGAGGACTGGAACTGATTACTTTGGACACACAGTAGTAGTCGTTGATGGCTCTCTGCTTCCCAGAGGGGCTTTGGGAGGCAGGAGCAGCTGTTTCAAAGAGAAAAGGAGAAAAACAACACTGAGTTAGCTGAACAGAAGGCCCAACTCCTTGATTTTAACAAAACTAGGCTCAAACAAAAACTACGGAGATAATCAGTTTATTACAAGTGACACCAGAGGGCGGAGAAACTTGGATCACTGTTACACTACTGTTAAAGTTGCATACGCTGTACCCGCCGGCGCTGCACTGGGCCAATCACACCCTGTGATTTGAGAACTTGTTTAGAGGCAAAGAACAGGTTTAGCAGGGCAGCGAGGAGCGTTCAACAACCGTGTGCTGCTAAGCTCTTAACAGCTCACAGCTAATGACCCTGCTTCTGTCTGCACCACTGTCTCAGAGACCATTGTCTCCAATCGATCACCAGCTACAAGAACAAAGCACCTCTGCTAGCTTGGTAAAGAATTCTATATAAGCGCTGGTCAAATTAGAATATCATGACAAAGTTGCTTTATTTCAGTAATTTCATTCAAAAATTGAAACTCGTATATTAGATTAATTCTTTACACACAGACTGATACAGTTCAAGTGTTTATTTATTTTAATGTTGATGATTATAACTGACAACTAATGAAAATCTCAAAATCTCAGAATATTAGATTATTAATTAAGACCAATGCAAAAAAAGGCTGTAAGCCGGCTCCTTTGGCCTGGATTACTGCAGCAATGCAGCGTGGTATGGAGTCGATCAGTCTGTGGCACTGCTCAGGTGTTATGAGAGCCCATGTTGCTCTGATGGTGGCTCATCTGAATTGTTGGGCCTGGCGTGTTGCATCTTCCTCTTCACAATACTCCACAGATTTTCTATGTGGTTAAAGTCAGGTGAGTTTGCTGGCCAATCAACAACATGGTCCATCAACCAAGTACTGGTAGCTTTGGCACTGTGTGCAGGTGCCAAGTCCTGTTGGGAAAGTAAATATGCATCTCCATAAAGTTGGTCAGCAGCAGGAAGCATGAAGTGTTCAAAAACTTCCTGGTAGATAACTGCGTTGATCTTGGACCTCAGAAAACACAATGGACCAACACCAGCAGACGACATGGCACCTGACACCATCACTGACTGTAGAAACTTTACACTGATGTGCACAAGACAGTAGTGAGACCATCTATTGTGTCCGATTTAGAGACAGAGTCCGTGAAGAAAAGACAGGAGGCGGATTCTCTTCGGGAGGGACGAGGATGGGTGGGATCATGACTGAGTCAGTCAGAGGGACAGCTTACAATTAATGTTTTAAAGAAAAAACCAGAGAGGACAGACTGAGATGGTTTGGACATGTCCAGAGGAGAGACAATAATGATATACGTAGAAGGATGCTGAGGTTGGAGCCACCAGGCTGAGAGGAGATTTAGGGATGTTGTGAAAGAGGACATGAGGTTAGTTAAGAGTGAGGGTAGAGGACGCAGAAGATGGGACAAAATGGAGACAGATGATTGGCTGTGGAGAGGAAGGGACACGCTCAAAAAGAAAAAAAGGTGTGTTTAGATGTCTGTAGCAGGTTTACAGTGGCTTACCAGAACACTGTCGTTTTCTGGGGGTCCTGGGGTGAAGCCTTTGGTTGTGGTCATGGTGTCTCAGCCCGTGGTTGGAAGTGTGGGGTTGGGTAAGAGAGTCTGCATTTTGTGCCAGCTGTTTACAGTCCCCGGCACTTAGGTGCTTCCGCTTGGCCTTTCCTGGTGACACAAACAATCGTTACAACACAAAAACCTACAACAGGTCTTGTGGCAAAAACTGATCACACGCTGCTGGAGGCAGACCCGACCCTCCAGAGGGAAGATGGACGTTTTTACCACTGTTGGCAAAGGGAAAATTCCACAGTGTTAAGTAGTTATGAGCAAATTATACAAAACAAAATCGATTATAATGTGGGGAACTTTTTTTTTTCATTCACAAAATTATATTTATATTAATCGCAACTGCATCACGTTGTATTTTAGCTATAAAGATACAGCTGTCCAGTTCTTATAAAAATATATATTCAAGTTATGTTAAACCCAGAAAACTTTAAACCAACTCAAGCGGGTTAAACACGACAACCTTCTGCTAAAGTCAGACAACTCTGTGTCTTTAGTGGTACAATTGTAGGATTTGATTTAAACTGCGAATAACGTATAACATGCTTTTGGCAGACAAGCACCTGGATCCGACCAATTTATCAGCCTGCTGCTTAACATAAACAAACGAATCAAATAGGCTACAATGACATTTTTGTTCATGCTCACCTTTGGAAGCAACCTCCATCATTGTATCCAAAACATCCACCACGCGAGCTCCAGGATCGAGTCACGCAAATTTAAACCTCTGCTGAACCGAGTAAGTTTTCGAAAATAACTTTTAAAAGAAAAACACTGAACCCAAAACAACCCCTGCTAGCTTATTTATACTCATTTGTCCTGAAACGTACGTTTAGTGCAAAACAACAAAACACGAAAAGTTAAACAAGCCACCTCTGCTGAGCTAATTGTTTCTCTTCTTTAAGAAAACGTTACAGTTCACGTTTTCTTCTTCTTCAAACGCCCCTCTGCTTTGAGTTCGAAACCTAAAACATGTTGGGATGTTCCTGCCAGCTGATTGGTCGGTTGGTTCTTCTTTGGGTTTTCGAGGTTGGCTATTAGATGACGCCGCCACCTGCTGGTCATTTCTTAGAATGGTTGACATGTTATGTATAAAATGTTTATGGAGGAGTCATCTCATAGAGTTGCTTTGATACGGAAACCCATTTCTGCTACTTTTTATGCTGGTGTTTTTGTCATTTCTGTCTTTTTGGGATCCCACGATTACGTTTTTCTTTTTCTATTCACATTTTCTGAATGTAAATAATATTTTTTTTAATAATGTAATAATCCTTAACTTTGGTGTTTTTGTGAAGCGCCTCGTAATTTTTATCTTGAGATAAAATAGTACATGGTTTTTGATCAGGGGCGCTCCCAGAAAAATTTGGTAAGGGTGGCCAATAAAAATTTTGCGTGGCACACCAAATTGGCCCTTGTGTTAACTCTGGAACAGTTTAGCTCGTGTTTATTTATTTATTTATATTTTCAACAATATGTATAAAATGTTAAATGAATGATCAATGACCCGCACTTGTATAGCACCTCTCAGAGTAAGGACTCCAAAGCTCTTTACACTACAGTGTAGCATTCATCCATTCACACACACATTCACACACTGTTGATGATGAGCTACGACATAGCCACAGCTGCCCTGGGGCGCACTGACAGAGCTATCCAAAACACTTGACTCTAAATTGAGACACAAACCTATAAAAAAAATTATTTATGGTTTTTCAAAATAGATTTTAGAATTCTGTTTTTAGTTTAATTCCTGTAGCTGTCTTCACAAAAACTATGGAACTATAAACTTCTTTTAAAATGGTGAGCAGTAGAAACAGATCATTTTTTTCAAAATTCAGATTATTTCGTTATAAATTGTATAAATTTTTTTTTGGGGGGGGGGGGGGGGGTTACATTGATGTCTTGAATAAATGAGATACATTTATGGTTTGAGTGAACATTACTAGGATTTATTAACACTGGTCTTCCCAGAGGGGCCAGCAATTTTCTAGGGTGGCCATGCCCACCCATTGGGAGCACCACTGATTACAATTATTTTCAAAGTCATATTTATGATCCGTTTTCTTTAATGTTTTGAGCTTCTATTGATTCAAGCTGCTTTGGCGGGTAGCTCGCCCAAGGCAGCCTCTCCAGGAACCCTTTGCAGGTGTTGACATTAGCTGATTAGTATGACACTTTGAATCAAGAATATTGAACCTTTTCACAATATTCTAATTGTCTGAGATTGTGGATTTGGAGTTTTCATGAGGCTGCAAGCCATAATCATCCCAATTATTACAAATAAAGGCTTGAATTATCTGGCTTTGCATAGAATGAGTCTTATTTAATTAAGTATTTACCTTTTATGTTGAATCACTGAAATAAAAGGATTATTTCACCACATTCTAATTTTTAGAGTTTCACCTGTAGTCAGTTAGTGCAAAATTTCCAGTCGAAGATTGTTATGACATTTCTTTATTAGTCAGTAATCTCTAAAATAAAAACACAATCACTGTCATCGGCACCATAGCTGTGAAACATTGGTCTCGCTCAGGGTAGCTGTTAGCTTCTCCAGCCAGTTTGTTTTCCAAACCTTCTGCAGAAAGACCCAAACCATCCTGTCAGCTAGCTCAGTACCAGCAAAAACCCCTCCAGCATCATGAACGCACGGTGTTCATTAACAGTTCATTCAGTTACAAAAGACTAGTCAAAAAACATTAAACAAAGTGTTAAGTTGTCAGGGGAAGTTTTCTTATCCCTCCCCAAAAAAGGAAACATAATTGAAGAAAGAAATGACTGAATCATCTCAACACTGGTCCCTCTGGGAATGTAAACCTGAAACATAACCTGTGAGTCGAATCGACAGAATGATTCGGGCTTCCTGCTGAGAGTAAAAAGATGGTTTATGACGTGTACCGTAGTCAGGAGGGCTGTAATATCAAACTGTTTTGTTTTTTCATCCAAGGCATTAAGACCTCTAGAGAACCAGGATGTCTTTTTTTTTTAAAGCAATTCCTATTCAAACTGTGAAAATCCTCCAGCTGCACTTGACAACTTCCTCCTGCTCTGTTGATCTCCATCACTGCTTTAGGACAGGGAGCTCCCTCGGCTTGAAGAAGGCCTGAGCCATTCCCATGGCAAAGATGTAAACTTTAGCATCCACCACGATCTTTTCTTTTTGCAGCAGATCTGTGGAACCACACCAGCCCAGTTTGTCAAAAACATTTCTGCTGAACCGGCCGCCAAAACATTTCTGAAGCCTCACCGTCAATCTTCATCTGGAACTCATCGAGCGGTAAAAGAATGACTTCAACAAACTCTGGGATGGGAGGGAGAGAGGATAAAGTGAGTGGAACGGTTTTCATCATCAAAGATCAACTCTTCAAATAAAAGAGCTGGAACTCACCTCCGTCTCCTGTGGAAGAACACAAGAGAAGAACATTAACCTAAGATAACTACTAGATAAGCAGAATTTCTAAACTGATACGCATCTTAATTATTTTCAGGGAAAACAAATAATCTTTTGTAAAATATTAGTTAAATGTGTGCAGTAAAATTTTAAAACATGTCTATATTAAACAAAATGAGCTTGCCTCTCCTTGAGGGAATGTTTGATGAGGAATTCTGACAGGAATTATGAAACAAATTAGAGGAAGAAGTGTTTGGATTGAAGGGAAACTTTGCAGTTTCGGCTTGCCTTTAGCACCCCCTAGTGTCCAGATAGTAAAACCAAAAGAGAAACGTATCTCCTCGCTGTGCATTCTTCTTTTTAACACCTTAACCAGGTGTGCCAAACCCTGGTCCTCGAGCTCCACTATCCAGCATGTCTTAAGAGGTTTCCCTGTTTTGAATCAGATGTCATTAGCAGTGTCCTGCAGAGCCTGAGTAGCTGTCGAACAGGTGATTCAGCCACTGAATCAGCAGGGTAAGATATAAAACAAGCTGGATAAGAGATCTTGAGGACCAGGGTTGGGACACCTAGGTCTCCTCAGCCTTCATTAGTGTCTACAGGTGTGATTCATCACTAAATTAAACAAATCAGCTGTGTTTATGGTCTAAAATATACAGGAAACGTGCTGGAACCAGACTGCAGGGCAAGCGGGTCCACTTCCCTTTACTAAGTCCAACAGCGACTGGTCCAGATACTCTGGAGTTGCAAGTGCGGTTTTCTGGCCACAGGGGACAATGGGGTCTGAATGGCATTTCGTTAACCCTGCACAGGGTCATATTAGCACATTCTGGCTCAGGAAAAGGATTTATAGATATGAAAAGGTTGTCTAGTATCCCTTTAAAGTTGAATGGTTGGTTAAATTCTGAGGTTGTGTTCAGAAATGTTGTGCATCCACTGTTGTGACATTTTAACCTGTAAGTAAGGTGGAAAATGTCTAGATGTATCGACCATCAGCAATAAAAAAATAAATCTCTGGTTACTATTAGCACATGGCAATGTTGTGTCCATGGGCAAAAACCTGGAGCGTTGAGTTCCTACCCAGCTGTTGTGTGGGGTGAATATTCTCCACGTCGTCTCCGTTGATGTTAACCAACACGATCTGTGTGGTGCAGTTAGACAGGCCGGGGTCCAGGCAGGTCACTGCAATCACACCGTTTTTATCAAACTTCTACAAGCAATACACGTTCAAACTCTGTCACTTAAAAATAAACAGCACAAGCACATTAATGACCCCTGCATCTCTGCAACAATTACAGGAGATAAGATACAACCTAAACAGACAGTTAACGCAATCAGAAGTACCTGGAGTGACTCCTACTACCTCCCCTTTGTAGCCGGTTTCCTCCTTCAGCTCCCTCAGTGCAGCCACCTCTGCCGTTTCCCCTTCGTCGATCAGCCCTGAATACAAAAACGCAGACAGAAATGTTATCGTGAGGACATGTTCCTGAAGGTTCCTCTAGGCTAGGGTAAAATCACTCGAGGACCTGCAGGAAACTCCAGAGTGCAGCTTCCAAGGGGAGGACGGAACTGCTTCACCATCACCACGCAGTCTTTATGAAGCGTTCGTTTCAGCAGAGCGATGATTCCTACACCTGCAAAGAAAAGATACAATTACAAACTTAACAATATAAACACAATGAATATCAAACAGGAAGACTAACCATCTGCTTCTGTGTTGGTCTGTCTGGTTGTCCTCTTCACAGTCTCCCAGGTTCTAGTGAACAAAAAAGAAAATATTTACACTTAATAGAACGATCAGGTTTTTCCTGTAAAGAGACATAAATGAAGGACTGAACTGTACCTGGTGTTTCCAGCAGAATCAACATATGTGGTCTTTTCCAGCTTCACCCATTGTCCTGCTGCCAAGAGCTGGAAGGCAAAAATAAACAAAGACGTGGTCCTAAATGAGACAAAAACTGGTCTGGAATCATTAAACTGACCTTATGACAAAATGCAGCTAAGGTGTAACAAATAAGAGAAAAAATAAGAGCACAAACCTCTTCTTTGACTATGTGTGGTGTCACTTTGGGCTCATCGGAGTTGCTCATTTTCTCTGTCGGATGAACTAAAACTGAAAGAAAGTAATAATAAACCACCACCTCTGTGAAATAAGCTGAGAATGTAAACAAACTACGACGTAATTAAATATGATTACGCTTCAGTCATCATCACGAGCGGCTCAGTTAGCTACAACAACTAGAAAAACTATCAATTCCCCTTCCATTAAATGTCTGCTTTAGGCTCGACTTTTGTTCTTTTTTATTTAACAACAGCTACGAGTTTCTGCCACACAAGTCGGAGTTTTAGTATTTTGAACTTTAACTTAACTCAAAATTTGATTGAGAGAAACTAAAGTTTACTCACGTGAAATCCCTGCCGAGTGTTAGCAGCAAAGAGCAGACAATAACAAGACGCCTCACTCTGAGAAGACTTCAGAGAGTCTCAAACGTCACTGTAGTAATACTGTATACCACACGTAATAAAATATCACGAAATTTAATAAAAAATATTATTTTATTTGTTCGTTTAATAAGGAAGCGTATAGTATGTTTTAAAAGAAAAACAATTTTCTTTAAAACACAGTTTACTGCCAACCTAGCACTTTACACTGAAAATTTAGATAGTTTTAATAGTAAATCGCTTTTGTTTTATTGATTACTTTAATATTTTAATGAACCATAATTATATCGAATGTTAGTTTGATCCATTTGTATTTACACCACTTTTCTAATTAAAGCCGTCCGTAAAATAATAAAGGATATAGTGAATAAAAAGAGAAAACCGTCTTAGTAATAAACGATCTATGTAAGAAATTGATGGTTACGTCATTTTACCACTTTGTGTACAACTCCCAAATGCTTCCCCCAAAAAACAACAAATTATGCTTCGCTCTTTTAAAATACGTAGTTGTTTTCCTCAATTAACTTACCAAATAAAGTTGAAAATGAATATAATAGAGTGCATGTAAAATAGTATTGGGATTAAAGTTGGAGACTTTTACGACAATTGAAAAAAGATCCGATGATCCGGGTGATATTTACTGATGGACACATTTCCGGCTCAGGTTATTGCAGCATGAAGAAGGAGCAAGTAGCTAACTGTCAGTTTTCTGTTTGGTATCCGATATTCAAAAAACACACAATAAAAAGGTAAAATTTGCCAGTTCTAGGAGGAATTAAAAACAAGATGTTGGTTTCTTCTTGCTGGATGGCCTTGGCTTTTTCTTTCATTTCGTTTATTTTCTTTCGGTCATGTTTCATCTAAAATGAACTTGTGTTGTCTAAACGTTTTATTTTACAGTCAGATTCTTCCATTGCCTCAAAATGTGATAGACTATTTACTGGACGATGGGACGCTGGTAGTCTCAGGAAGGTATGAATCCACACGGATAAACAGTGTGTTTCTGTGAGTTTAAGATATGCTTTTTTTAGGATCAACATGTTAACCCTTGTTATTTTTCAGGGATTGAGCTAATCAGAAATGTGATGACGATTCTTAAGACGGTTTTACGACTTGTGGTGGTTTTTAGTTCGTGCTTGAAGCCTGTTGTTAGTTTATAATCGTGATTTTTCTCTTTTCTCCTCAGTGATCACAGCACACAGCCGACACACACTAACAGCTACAACTCAGACGCAGAGGAAGACGTTCAGGTGTGTTTACCACTCAGAGTTAACTTATTTTTAGCTTTTGAAATGCATAAACATACATCTGGATATGTAGATTGAAAATTCACTCTTTGTAATCTTAAACTCTTTGGATGGGAAATTGGTTTTAGTTGCCTTCCTTTTTTCTTTCACAAGCAGATCTGATGGATAATAGTTTTTGATAAGCTGGTTCAGTCTCCAGCCTGGACCACGGTGTGGATTTAAGACATCCTCAGGTGTCAGACATCAGACAATAGAGAAAAAACATAAGGTTCCATCCAAAAACCCATCAGACGTCTGACTAAGTAGAAACAGACTAAAAGGTCTCAGGAAACGTCTGTCAGACTTAAAGACCCTTTTGTCTGACAGACTATTTTCTGAGAGGTTTTGGTCTTTTAATGGTGGATTTGTTTATTTGAAGTCGTAGGCTATCTTTTCAGTAACTTCATCTTCATTAACAGAGCCTTGTGAACAGATGTTCTGATCCCTGCAGTGGAACTTTGCAGCTCTTGTGAAATCCATTTGTTCTTTTTGTTAATCCATGTCCTCCTTTCCCGGATTGTGAGCTCCTTTCCAGGTTTCTGTTTAATCTCGTGTTTTTGTTTCCTACAGTGATATTTATTATTATGCATCTTTACAAATCTTTATCTTTTGATTTTTCTTTATTCTGTTTTACCTTGCTCCCCTCTAGTGGTCAGATGATGAAACAACCACAACAGTCACTGTGAGTAGATTTGATTGCTCGAATATTCTGTTTTGAGCAAGAGTCAGTAAACGCACCACTTCCATTTAGATTTTTATCTCTTTTCAGATTTCTGAATAAACGAATTAATAAAAATAAACTAAATAAGACCTAGATACGTTCTCATTGGCCTCCGAATCCATACAAACGGGATATATGAGCATTTAGGCTGCAGATGTTTGTGATGGGGTGTGAATTCTGATGTTTTTAGAATTCTACAATTTAAATCTACCTGTTTGGTAATTACATCTCATCATTTTAAGTTAAATCGGCGGCTGTTATGCTATTTTGTGTTTCTATTTCCTACTGTTCTCTTATAAAGCTGTGAAATGTATTTGCCTCCTTACAGATTTCTTGTTTTATTTTTATTTATTTATTGTCCCTTAAAGAGACAACGTGTAGTTGTAACCATTGATTTCTGGAAATATCCATCAAAATCTTGTTGAAAAATATTGGTGGCTTTGTAACATATAACCTTAAAAATCAGGTCTAAAATACCTGGGAGTGGGCCTTACCCCCAAATTCCACTATCTCTGCTCCACTCTCCGCTGCCGCTCGCTTCCGAACTCAAATTATACTATACCCGCTCTACAACGGCTCCGCTCCGGTACAGAGACCCGAGGTGCGCAAACAGGCATGCGAGATCTTGCGATACAGTCCAAGCAATAAACGCGGAAGTTAGATCCAAACACCCGTTGTGTGGGAGAAGCATCGAAATGAACTGTTTAATCTGCCCATCATTTGTGTTGAGATACCAGCAGTGTTTGGATCAACAAAGGGTGACTACTTTGATAGTGGAAACTGTATTTATGGCTTACCTTTGTGCATTTAAAGTTCAACCGCCATTGATAGTTGTTAAAAGTTGTTAAACCTGTGCATATGAAACAAAAAAACACCTTTTGTTTATTTATTATGGAATAACAGATTTATTTATTATGGAATAACAGATTTATTTATTATGGAATAACAGATTTATTTATTATGGAATAACAGAAGTTGTGCTTGCTCCCTTTCCTGTTGGGCGGTTGTGATTTCTGTCCATTGACTGCGGAGGTGCTCTGGCATCCGGCAAAATTAGAATCGACCCTATTTTTGCCGGATGGCGGAACGGCGGGTGGCGCACTGCGCCGCACGGCCACAGTAGTGGAACAGCTCTGATTGATTACAGCGGGACCGTTTTTGCTGCGGAGTTCGTGCCAGAGCGGAGGTAGTGGAATTTGGGGGCAACTCTCTGGGCGACGCCATATTAGACACCATGTTTCATTCTACGGGAGCCCATGAGGACAAAATGCATTTACTGATTTGTAACAAATGGTTACAAGCTTTTGTCATTGTTAAATGTTGTTGTTCACAATTATCTCTTCACTGATAAAAGGGAGTCTGATGTGCTCATTATTTAGCTAAAGTTTGCCCTCCCCAAGGCTTTTTGACCCTAATGGGCATCCGTTGGTACGGTCTTACTTCAACACAAAAATACTACTTGCTTGCAATGATTTAAGTATTTACTGCCCCCCCCCCCACCAGGAAAAATACACACTGTCACTTTAAATGTTTCAGATCAGCAAATTAATTTCACAATCAGACAAAAATAACCTGAAAAAATATAAAACATAGTTTTATCAAGGATTTCTCACCAGCCTGCTCCTGTGTAAAAACTAATCGGCCCTCTATTTAAATCACGAATAAACCAGGATTATTCAGATTACCTGGAAATATGAGGACAGCTTTCTGGGATATTTTTACACCTGCTGATGGAAGTAACATGAACATCATTGTGGTTTTGGCAAATTGAACTATTGGGCCTTTTTTCAGTTCTCTCTCACTTTCTCACACACACAAACACACACACACAAACACACACACACACCCACACACACACACACACACACACACACAGAGCATTGATTCCACCTATGTGTGGCATCACGTACATCTGTTTTATTTAATGATATAATATTAATGTGGCGTTATGTCTGCTAGGCTCCTGAGTTCCCAGAATTCACCTCCAAGGTGCTGGAGGCCATAAACGCCCTGGGTGGGTGTGTGTTCCCCAAACTCAACTGGAGCGCTCCTCGGGTAAAACATGCTCTGTGGAAAAGCAAAAAAAGTGTTGGTTTTATTTGTTCATTCATGATTAAAACCCAAGTTTTAGATCACTTCCTGTGGCTAAAATCTGCTCCGTGAGGTGCTGCCGACAGTAAAAGGTTAAATTATAACCCAGAGGACGCGTGTGTTTGCCTCCCAGGATGCTAACTGGATCGCTCTGAACAGCTCGCTGGAATGTCGCAGCCTCAGTGAGATATTCCTGCTCTTTAAAAGTTCTGACTTCATCACTCATGACCTCACACAGCCGTAAGCGTGGTGCACACACACGCACACACACACTCACACACACTGACACCTAGATTTGTTGTGCTTTTATACAAGATGTGGTGGAAGAGAAGGAGCAGGTGTTTGTTGATTAAAATCAGCAGTAAAACGCAAGTGAAAGCTGGAAAAACCGGCTAGCATAAAGATTTATGTAGCCCTCTCCACTGTGACGAACATTCTGCTCAGAGAGATTTACTGCTCTGTTAAGCCTCGTAAAAGTGTGTGTGTGTGTGCGTGTGCGTGTGCGTGTGTGTGTGTGTGTGTGTGTGTGTGTGTAAAGGGATACTGCAGGGAGACTTGTGCCACACAAACATGTTATTTCCTGTGCAGGTTCCTTCAGTGCAGCGACCAGGACTCCCCCGATCCAGTCATCAGTTATGAGGTCATTTATTTATCATTCATTCATAAACCTTGAAAAGGAAAGAGTGTTTTTGTTTTTTATCCTTTGTTCTTTAAAGATACAACAAGTAAAAAAAACAGTAAAATGACAAAACAGTCTGATGTCTCAAACTTGTTGAAGGGAAGGTTACATTTTTAATTTCAGTCATGCTTAGTAATGAAAATACAGAATTTCTATTTCATTTTCTAAGCTGGACCCTGGTCATTAGCCTCATGTCCCTCTGGGCTGCCGTACTGACCAGGTGTTGTTGTCCTAGAAAAACCAGGATGCTTTAGTATCCTGTAAAGTTCACTTCCATTGTAAAAGATTTTGCTACTGAGCAGCAACAAACTCTGCAGGATGTATTTTTACTCAGAAAACCTTACCTCCCAAGCCCAAATAGAGGCAGAAGATGACTTTTACCCGCCTGTATAAACAAACGAAGAGTCACATAAACAGTTTAGTTCCTCACCGCAGTCATTTCTAACAACTTTATACAATGGACTCATTCATTGTTCATTCTATATAATATCAACATTTTTGCATCAAGAGTGCCTTTTGTCACGTGGTAAAGACAGAGGCTGGGGATTATAGGTGGTGATTATTTGGAACGTTTGCTAGCACATCTAATAATGCTTTTAATTTAATTTAATGTATTTTAAAGAAACAGCCGTTGATCATGGATGACATAAACTAGCATTATTAATAGGAATAATCACATTTAGCTGCAGTCATACTGTTGTAGGACTTTTTTTTAACCAGTAAAACTTTCATGAATCCAAACACCTACTTATGACGTTGCTCTGGTTGAAAACATTCATGGACTCAGAAACATTCCTAGGTCCATTTTAAGTCTAGTTTTATAACAAGAACCAAAGTCTGGATCCAACTGAGAACTGAATAGAAATATTTCAGGTCTGAACAATTCTTTTTAGGGATTCATTAAAGTTCTATTCTATTCTATTCTTCAGTGTTATACTGAATTGTTTCTTTTGTCCTCCATCTTCAGTTGGTCTTAAGAAAGTGGAGCGAGCTGATTCCTGGAGGAGAGTTTCGTTGCTTCGTCAAAGAAAACAAGCTCATCGGTAAACACCCCCTCACACACACACACACACACCCTTTGGGGCTTTGTTCTCATGGGTTTTAAAAACCAAACACACCTCTCATTTGTTGGCTTTATGAGCCAACCAGCTGGGGAAAAGGAACTCACACACTGACGCATTTGAGCTGTGTCCTTTTTCAGCAGGATCATTTCTGATGCAATTATAGAATCCAATTTGAGCTCCACTCGTGTGTGTGTGTGTGCGTGTGTGTGCGTGTGTGTGTGTGTGTGTGTGCGTGTGTGTGTGTGTGTGTGTGTGATCCCAGCGATCTCCCAGAGAGACTACACACAGTATTACCAACACATCCTGACACAGGAGCAGAACATCTCTCACGCCATCCAGGATTTCTTCAGCCAGCACATCCAGTACCACTTCCTGGATGAAGACTGTGAGCTTCAAATTTATTCTCTGTCTGTGTTTCAGGGCAGGAAGTCCGTATTTATATTAAACATCTTTAAAAAAATTAAAACACGCTAATCAAACTGGAGCAAAGACGGGGAAAGATGAATGAAGTCATTCGTTTCACTGGGAGTTTCATGCTTCATGTATTTAATTTGTTTTGTGGTGAAGTTGTTGAATATTAAATAACCAGAAGTGTTTTTTTTTTCTGTTTTCAGTCGTGTTTGACGTCTACAGAGATAGCCAGGTAACCCACTCGCTCATTCGCCTCATAACCACAGCTAAACCGAGCTAACAAACACAGAACTGACTTTATCTACACTCTGGGAGTCCACCTGTGTGAAGCACTTTGTGATTCTATGTCTGTGATAAGTGCTCTATAAATAAAATTTACTTACTTACTTGTCAGTCATCAACCCTAACCACTGGACAGATTTAAGGAATTTGATCTAGAACTGGTTTACTTTTAAGTCAGTCCATTTTGTCTAATCGGTTGTAGTCGGCAGGAAAAAAATGTTAAGTTTTTGTATTTGAAACTCAACCTCAAACTGACAACAGATTGTCTAAAATGTTACAGCATGGTGCCAGATATTGTGTGACATCCTGCAATGAGATATTGAAGTACTGGTGTGAGAGAGAGACCCAAATCTTGCAGTGTTACGAGAGTTTGTGTGAAATCTGACAATATGATGCGAGGGTTTGTGCAAAGTCTTGTGAGAGGATTTTTCGTGTGAAGTAGCATGAGAGGTAATGAAATGTCGCAGTTTGGTAAAAGATTGTGCAAATGGATGATAAGGTGCCTCCGCTTCTTTTGATTATGACCTCATTGTTTTCTTTTGGTCATGGAGGTCAGACTAAACCTTTTCCATACGATTTAGATTGTTTGAAACCTCGTCATTTAGCGGGAGAAATTGCGAGATAACATGATATCTTGCAGTTTGGTGAAGGATTATGGTGTGAGAGCTTAAATTTTCTCAAATCTTTCTAACATGTGAGATATTTCACAAACGTCCATGTCATGGTGGGTTATACAGATTCTTTAATCCACTTTCTGAGATTAAAGAGTGACATCATCAAGTTAAAAGCTAGAAGTGAGCCGGAGCAGAGTTGAGCTGAAGACGGCACAATTTGGACTCTTATTTCACGGCGCAACTCTACCACTGACTCTGTTTGCTTTGCAACGTGAATGTTTTATCTCTACAAATAACACAAGCCTAGAGGAGTTCTGCTGTGTGGTGAAGTGGCTAATGCTAATGATTAGCTTCTACTAGCTACCTTGTTTCCTGCACACTAAACCAACAACAGCCTTCCCCAATGTGAGCCAAGATGAGTCCATGACGTAGATCTGTCAGGATTCTCTAATCCTAACATTTCACCGTCTATTTTCTTCCGGAAGCTAATGTAGGAGATTATTTTCATGTTCAGACTGCATGAAAAACTCAGTGACGGATTATAATCAGAAATAATAGTTGTTGTTTTTTTCAATGAAGTTGACCTTAAATTGTTGTGGCAGACAAACAAAAAACATGTTTTTTATGGAAAAATATGGAAAAATCATTCAATGGCGATTCATTTTTCATTTGATTTATTTATTTATAAAGGTGTTTCAGACCACCTGTCAAGGCAGCCCAAAGTGCTCTTTGCTAAAACATTAAAGTAAAAACAAATATGAAAACAGCCTCAAACCCAATAAAGCACATCAAACGCGTTAGAACAGACCCACTAGCAAGACGACAGAGAGCAAAAGTGCAATTTTAGTTTAGAAATGTTCGAAAGCATCTGCCTGCATCAACAGCCTGCTGAAGAGGTTAAATTCACCTTTCTAGAAAACCAAGTGGGGGCTTCACAAAATCCCTCCGGTGGCCAGAAACGGCCCCTGGGCCACACTTTGTGCATGCCAGCTTTAGCCTGTTTGACCCATGTCTTCTTGTGTTTTGTGTGGTATTCAGGGCAGGGTGTGGCTCATTGACCTGAACCCGTTTGGAGAGGTGACCGACTCGCTGCTGTTCCGTTGGGACGAGCTGACGTCTGGTGGAGAAGCAGCGCAACAGCTACAGCAGGTTGGCGAACACGGATTCTTCCTACAGCTCTTTTTTTCTGGACTCTGGTGAAGACTAAGTCTCACCCATGCAGGACGGCCCGGCGTTCCGCTACACCATGAGCGAGGTGACGGTGCAGCCCAGTCCCTGTCTGAGCTACAGAATCCCACGAGACTTTGTTGACCTGTCCACCGGAGAGGACGCTTACAAACTCATCGACTTCCTGAAACTGGTAGGACTGGATTTGTGTGTCACGCTGACCCTGGTCTCACTCTTTATTCCTATTCTGGAATTCTGTTGGAGGATCTGAGGAAGTAACTTAGGGAGGGAGACTAAAATACAATAAAGGTAAAAACTGAGAAAACGTAAACTGAGACATAATTGAGGCTCTTTGTGACAGGAAACTTCACACAGCGCTTCCAGTTTCTGATGGTTTCTACTTTAGATCAGAATCAACAGTCTGGATATTAAATGATTTCATTAGAATCTGTGCCTTAAAGAGCAAGTCACCCCCAGATCAACTTTTCTGCTGATAAACTATAAACGAGTGTCTGATCGTGCTGTAGACACGTTTAGTCAATAATTTGGTTAAATTAATCTTAGTTAAAATGTAAAAATTCTGCCTAAAACTGTCAGTGTGGTGCCGTCTTCAGGTGAAAACTCTGCACTGCATTTGAATTTAAATCTGCCATTGCCATTGGCTAAGAAGGTACCCTATGATATCCACTGGTACATTATGATGTCACAATGTCATTGTGAGTCTGCGTATGTATTTGTTAGCGGCTCCGCCCTCTCGGTCTGCCAGACAACAGCATTTGTTGCATTTTTCAAACAGGAAGTGGGAGTGGAGTAAGACTTTAGTAGGGGGTGTAGGATTGGTAAATTTAGTGCTTTAGGAGCTTAATATATTACTTCTACTTATGACCAATAAGCTGTGATACTAAATATAAACATAGAATATCAACCTGCTTGGTCTTAGGGTGTTTTAATCAGAAGATTCTAGGGTTCTTTGTTTATTCAGGGATTGTAAACACTTTGTCTTGATTCAAGAAAGAGTCAGGTTTGTAAAAGTAAGAATTTATTTTCCGAGCAATTAAAACACGACAAGTTAACTAATATTTACTGTGATGATTGAATCTACATGGAGGAGATGTGATGTATGGTGCCTATATGTAAATATGATGTTATCAGAACTTCCGTATCTAGGAGAGCTGAGTTCTGGGTGTGAAAGAATTTGGTTTGCGTTACGCTATGAAGTTGATTATTATCAAAAAGCATCAGACGCAATCACACTGTGTTCTACCTCACCCTTTCTTGGAGACCCTCTTCGTGGATCCAGAGGTCATTGAGGTCGGATGACCTCTGGCACCCAGGTCCAGTAGATTGATCACAGCACCGACTTCTCCAGTCCAGAGATGTCGCCAGGCACACAGGTTGGATGAAACCGTTTGCGTCTAACGGACTCTTAAGGAGTCGGAACATTATCAGTTTTGTTCTGCAGGAACCGTTTGCTGTGTCAGCTTTGCAGCAACCTGGACGGCGTGTCAAAGATTGCTCCTTAATTAAAGAGACTTCACTACGGACGGCCGTTTCCGTAGCTTCCTCTAGAACTCGGTAGAACTTAGAACTGAGAACTCAACTCAACTGACTCACCGTAAAGTGAGTTCTGTTTTAATGTTCTCATGCTATGATTTGTTTGGCCAATCAGAGCGTGCCATGTTAAGGAATATTACCAAGACAACCTCAGAACACACGCCTTCTTGAGATAACGGATGCTCTGATCTGGGGTAAAGGAAATCTGTGTCACGTGTTTAACTTTAATTTATCTCTAACGAACCTTGTCTTATCCAACATTCATTTCATCATATACAGGTGCTGGCCAGTAAATTAGAATATCATCAAAAGGTTGAAAATATTTCAGTAATTCCATTCAAAACGTGAAACTTGTACATTATATTCATGCAATGCACACAGACCAATGTATTTCCAATGTTCATTACATTTAAATTTGATATTCATAAGTGACAACTAATGAAAACTCCAAATTTGGTATCTCAAAAAATTAGAATATTCTGAAAAGGCTGAATATAGAAGACACCTGCTGCCACTCTAATCAGCTGATTTACTCAAAACACCTGCAAAGGCCTTTAAAAGGTCCCTCAGTCTTGTTTTGAAGGCACCACAATCATGGGGAAGACTTCTGACTTAACAGCTGTCCAAAAGACAATCATTGACACCTTGCACAAGGAGGGCAAGACACAAAAGGTGATTGCTAAAGAAGCTGGCTGTTCGCAGAGCTCTGTGTCCAAGCACATTAACAGACAGGCGAAGGGACGGAAAAAATGTGGTAGAAAAAAGTGTACAAGCTCTAGGGATAACCGCACCCTGCAGAGAATTGTGACGACAAACCCATTCAAAAATGTGGGGGAGATCCACAAAGAGTGGACTGCAGCTGGAGTCAGCGCTTCAAGAACCACCACGAGGAGACTCATGAAAGACATGGGATTCAGGTGTCGCATTCCGTGTGTCAAGCCACTCTTGAACAAGAAACAGCGCAAGAAGCGTCTCGCCTGGGCCAAGGACAAAAAGGACTGGACTGATGCTGAGTGGTCCAAAGTTATGTTTTCTGATGAAAGCAAGTTCTGCATTTCCTTTGGAAATCAAGGACCCAGAGTCTGGAGGAAGAGCGGAGAAGCACAGAATCCACGTTGCATGAGGTCCAGTGTAAAGTTTCCACCGTCAGTGATGGTGTGGGGTGCCATGTCATCTGCCGGTGTTGGCCCACTCTGTTTCCTGAGGTCCAGGGTCAATGCAGCCATCTACCAGGAAGTTTTAGAGCACTTCATGCTTCCTGCTGCTGACCAACTTTATGGGGATGCAGACTTCACCTTTCAACAGGACTTGGCACCTGCACACAGTGCCAAAACCACCAGCACCTGGTTCAAGGACCATGGTATCCCTGTCCTTGATTGGCCAGCAAACTCGCCTGACCTTAACCCCATAGAAAATCTATGGGGTATTGTGAAGCGGAGGATGCAATACGCTAGACCCAACAATGCAGAGGAGCTGAAGACGACTATCAGAGCAACCTGGGCTCTCATAACACCTGAGCAGTGCCACAGACTGATCGAGTCCATGCCACGCCGCATTACTGCAGTTATTGAGGCAAAAGGAGCCCCGACTAAGTATTGAGTGCTATACATGCACATTCTTTTCATGTTCATTCTTTTCAGTTGGCCAACATTAGAGAAACAAACATTTTTTCATTGGCCTTTAGAATATTCAAATTTTCTGAGATACCAGATTTGATGTTTTCATTAGTTGTCACCTTTAAATATCAAAATTAAACGTAATAAACATCGGAAATACATTGGTCTGTGTGCATTGCATGAATATAATGTACAAGTTTCACGTTTTGAATGGAATTACTGAAATATTTTCAACCTTTTGATGATATTCTAATTTACTGGCCAGCACCTGTATATGTCATTTCAAGTAATTCAAGCACAGATCAATCAAAGCATTTCATTTATATTATAATTATTATAAGTGACAATAAACAAACGTTTATTAAATGATTATTTAACTTATTAGTTGTGGAAGTTCATCTTTTGTCCTGTGAAGCAGGCGGATAGATAAGGCCAGCTTAAGGCCTTGAGGAAGGGCATGATGTTGGCACTTTGTTATCATGTGTTCAGAGCTGCAGAGAGGCTCTGAACTCCAGCTGATGGAATGTCGAATCCGACAGATTAAAGGACACACTGCAGACTCTTGTCTCCACGTCGACCACATATTGAAGGGTCAGACTGTACTTAAAACTGATCATTACTGGACATTACAGGGGTGACTTGCTCTTTAATAAACCTTTTATTGTGTTTAAATAAAAACAGCGTGCTGATTGGTTCTGAAGATGATGGTGGAGTTTGGACTTTATGAGACAATCTGACTTATTTAAAATATTCCACGATCTGTCTAATTTTTCTACCTGGAGGTCATTAAGATCACCGTAAGCTCTTCACCCACACAGAGGCCATCACCTGCTTGTTAGCAGTCTCTGTTACCATGGTGATATAGCTCCACTCAAACACTTGTTTTTGATCCTGAAAACTCGGACCATCGACTGTCTTTATGGTCCTGCCTTCTGGACATTCTGGGTTTATGTCCAGTCCTTTCAGTTTGAATCTAAAAATCAGTCTAGAAAGGAAAAAGTCTGAAGCATCTCAAAACAAAGAAAGGATGAGATCATTCATTTAGATTAGATAAACACGAAGTTTCCGCACATTTCATACATTAGCTGTTTCCATTTGTTCCTTTTAGTTTTCCAGACCAAATTCTGGTAATTTATCCCTGCAGATTTGTCACTTTCTGCTCCTGTGCTCTGTCTGCAGAAGAAAAACCAGCAGGAGGAATCTGAGGAGGAAGAGGAAGGGAATGCTCCACCGTGACATCAGCTTTTTAAATAAAGTCTGCATGAGGTTCTGTTTGTGTCTGTCTGCCTCTGAACAATAACCTTGTGTACCTTATTTTAACCAGCTGACCCGTGTTTTGGGTAAACTGAACTAGTTAAATTAGTAAATCTGTTAGCAAAAACTCTCCTTAAATCACTGGTTTAGTCTGGTTTCACTTTAGCCTCTTCAGTGCTGCAAGAAAAACACTGTTTTTATACTTTGGAATAAGTGGATCACCCTAAATGATGCTGATTAGTTAACACACACACACACACACACACACACACACACACACACACACACACACACACACACACACACACACCCCTTTAATGTCTCTCTGCTCCATCATCTGCTGTTTACCGCTGAGCCGTTTGGGCACACTCGCTGCTCCAGGCACTCTTATTCCGAGTCCCTTATTTTCCCATCATGCTTTGCTGTGGGCTCCAGCTCCCAACAGCCCTCCCCCTATTAAACCTCTTGTCACATATTGACCCACCATCAGTCTGGGGGGTGCAGTAAACTAGCTCATAAGAAATTGATTGTGCTTTTACGCAACAGTTCTCATTACGCTGGGAGCTAAATGAGCTGTTCGGGACAACTCTGTTTTTTTCTTTGTCAGGATTGATGGAGCAATCACACAGGAATGGAGCCAGAGCGGGCGTGCTGAGAGTTACGGTTCCCCTGGTGAACCACTGTGGATGAGAAACGGCGAACCGCACACAAATTTTGTAAATGTTTCACGTTAATCATCCGTTTGAAAATGAAATCTGTCTGTTGCTATAGTTCCAATCACGGGGGTGTTGCACTGTTTTAATTTTATATACATACATGGCAAAATAAAATAAAGTTCACTCCTGTTCCAAATTAACTTTTTGTACAAGACTGTTATTATGAGGTCTAAGAATAAATTAAATGAAAATTTGGACATATATTTTACTGTTTTGTTGTTTCTGTTCCATAAGCAGAAGCAGCAGCTGAGCTTCAGTGAGCAAATAAAAACAGGTGTTGAAGCGTTTGTTGGTGTGGAGCATACAGGTGTGTGTTAGCACGAAAACATTTAAACTGATCTTTAAAGTGGGGTTCTGTGGAAATGTTAATGAAAAGTTATCTGCTGTAGGTCAGTCTTTGAGCAGCCTCAGTTTGGAGAAAAGGTTATTTCGTATTTTTTAAAATAGCATAAATTTCACATTTCTTGGTTAATCTGATTGAATTAAAATCTAGATAAACCATAGCAAAAGATTTTGATCTGCAACTAAGTTTAGCCACACTCCATTGTAGCCTTAGTAGGTCTTCCATTGCACAGTTTTAGGTCCAGCCAATCACTATGGTTGTAGGGAAACGTTAAAAGCTCATGAAGAAAAGAAACGCTCAATCTATGACTGCGTTATTGCTACTAAAGGTGGTTCTACGCCAGGTACCTTTGGCTTGAAGCAATCCACCTGGAACATATAAAACATCTTTCATTTTTATGTGAAGTACAAAGTGTTCATGGATGACTGTCTGACTTGTAAAATATTCTGTCAAAGAATGATGATGTAAGTCATATAAACACAAAAACATGCAAATAAAAAAATACATACCAAATAAGAGCCGTGTCTACTTAATGCAGGTAAAAGTTTGTCTGGAAATGTACTTTTTTTTAATAGTGAGTTATTTACTCTGATGATTGAGATGATCCATAGGCTGGTTTAAGCTGTTTTTCTTACGTAGTCATGACATACTTCTGAATATATTTAAAGATATTAGTATGAAATGCCCATGCTGTCTTCTGTTTTTCCCACTTCCTGCTGGCTAGGCACTTTTAATCTTGACAACTTTCTGATTTTGGATATGTAAATAAACTGACTTATCAGACAGCAAGTGGTGATTGCTCTGTCCTTTGGAAGATCCATACCACACCAGAACCTCCAGCGGATGAAAAACAACAAGGTCTTCTTGAGGAGCACCATCAGATGAACAGGAAACTGAAGATGGCGTTTATACTTATGATTGTATGATCCTCCTGACATTGATGAATCATGATGAAACCAACATCAAGATGCTAACCCAAGAGAATTTGATCATTTATCTGACAAATGTAATCTTGTTAGTGTCAAAATTCTGTGTGCTTTTAATTCGAAAGGGACTCCAGCCCTCAGTTTGTGAGCTCTCCCCCTGGTTTGCTGATTTAAAGCATTAGTTCCTCTCTTTAACCCTTGATTTGCCTTGACCTTCATCCTCTATTTACCCATCCTTGAAGCTTTCCTCTCCCCCTTCTGCTTTTGCAGCTGGGTAATCATCTTACATCAGGGGGAGATGAGAGTTGCTGACTCAGAGCGAAGGATTAGGATGAGCTGGAGAAAAAGACGGAGGGGAGGGGTTGGAGACAGGAGTTTTCCTTGGCTGCTGCTGAGGAAGAGCTGCAGTAGTTTGCAGCCGGAATACTCATGAGGAGTTGAGGCTGCAACACATTGCTTTCCCCACCTTCCCTTATCTGTTCACCCAAGATTACACACACACACACACACACACACACACACACACACACACACACACAGAAAAGTAACAGGACCAGAGATCCGGAGGGACTGTTTAACAGTGTGACCTCAGCTGACCTCACCCCCCAGCAGCTGTTGAACTGCAGGAAATCTCTGTCTGCCTGCAGTCTGAGGCTTTTGTGATCCAGGTGGAACCGTTTTAATCCAGGTGAACAGGCAGCTGCAGCTGGATCCCCTCTGATCCCAGCTGCAGCTGCTTCGAGCCACTCATACACCTCTGGGGTTTGCAAATATGGATGCATGACGGTTGTCAGCAAATTGGCGCATTGCGAATTTACTGCTCCTGTCTTCTGACTACACACTTTGTCACATAAACTGGCAAACAGGTTACATGTGCAGCCTCCCATCAGCTGCTTTCATAGTAAAGACAATGGGCAAGGCTACGATTACACCTGTGGTGTTTAAAAACGAAGATAACCATCATCAAATGAAGTAAGTCTTGTGGGAAGGTTTGGCTGAAAGAGTCCATAATACAGCCTGGCATCCATCATTTAATTGAGATTAGTCAACTGCAGGTGGCATTAACTTTTTTGTCAAGTTAGGGACTCCAAAACATCTTAAACAGGAAACCATGGGAGTTCCCTTCAAAATAAAAGCTGATGTCGGAACTAGGACAGGAATCAGTAAATTTAAGGGAACTTACAATTTTAAAATGTTTAACAGAAAGGTTTTTAGAGCTTGGCCTTAAGTTAAAGTAATCAATCCTACAATAATGAAATAAGGAGCCATAGTAAAACCAGTGAAGATATGCTCTCAGTTTTGTTTTATCTCCATCCAAATTTGTAAAAGTGGGTTAGTAGACAGAAAAAATATTAGACCAAGCACCTTTGTCGAAGTACCACCATGTTGGTAGTTTGGAACCAGAACTAGTGCAATAAGGATGTGGGACTGAAAGTGATGCCCACCTGCACACAATCATCACAGAGCAACAAATAACTAATTAAAAATAAGTATGTTAGAAGAAGAATATTTAAACATACAACTGCAAGATAGGAATTATGTAGCTCAACCCAATTGCATATTGAGCTAATCAGAAAAATAATGTAATATTTAAAAACATTAAAATGGATATTTAGGGCTCTGCTTTTGTTCTTGATTTGTTAGCAGTGGGCTAATTGTATTTCACTGTTTCTTATATATAGGCTATATTTTCTGTTATTCTGCCATCACCCGATACTTTATTAGTTCATTCATCTTTTTGATAGGGATAGTGTACATTAATGAACTATATTGGTGTCTATAATCAATAGACACCAATATAAATCGGACTATAGTAGGAACGCTAATCTACACCTGTCCCAAGGCAGCTCTCATAAAAACATTATGGGACAAGGTTGTGACCCACAAAATGAACACATGATCCTGAGATTTAACACTCCCACTGTCTTCATGGGTGACCCCGCAAAGAAAGTTGACCATTGAGCAGGGTTGATGGTTTATCCCTTGAGGTCCACGTGGCTGGGTGAGGAGTGAGCACCACCTCACCCCAGCCACGTGGACCTCAAGGGATAAACCATCAATCCTGCTCAATGGTCAACTTTCCTTGCGGGGTCACCCATGAAGACAGTGGGAGGGTTATACGTTAAATTATATGGAAACAGATGATTGCATTTGCATGTTTGGGTTGACTTTTGAAAGTTTAGTCCAGTTTTATTGTCTCAAGAGAGCTGTCCGTGGAATAAGGGTGACGCAAACTGCTTCAGGGGTTGTTTCTTTTTATATATAGAAGTTAAAAGTTATAAAAGTTTCGATAACATTGAAAACACGTGCTCTTATTTTGAAATTCCAACCGGAAAATGTTTTGCATCCCCGGGAAGCTGACAACTGCTCCTCACTGATGAAGGAGGAGGAGGAGTGAGGCAGCAGGGATACGGTAACCTGCAGGACTCACATGGTCCCTCCGCTGCGGAGCTCACAACCACTGGGACCCTCTCCACCTTTCACGCTTAACTACGTTCTAAAAAGAGTTATTTACCCTCCTGCGCTTTTGTTTTTACAGCTTTTTTCTCGTCCTAAACTGTTATCTTGCGTCCTCCCCGCCGCAGCCCAGAGTGTCGGGCCGGTAAAGCAGCGACATGGCTCGGGAGAACGGAGTCACCGGCAGCGGGGAGACGTGGAAAAAACAGGTCGACGACATCAAGAAGATTTTTGATTTTAAAGAACTCCTCGGAACGTGAGTAGGCCTACTAACTTCACGCGTCTTTCAATTCAATTCATTTCATTTCAAAGATACTTTAGTAATCCCAGAGGGAAATTAGAGTTTCAGTACACACAATTCTGAGGTCAGACATACATACATAGACACATGACAAGAATTGGTGACTGGTCATTCGCAACCCGAGTCGCGCTACCTTAACATTTCCTTTGATGTTTAAACAGTGCCCACACCTGGTGTGTGTTTATTGTTCTGAGTTAATGAACTGCTCACAGGGACGGTGTGTGTATATTAGTTTACACACGCAACGCGTCTCTGTGATGTAGTTAACGTGACTAAAATGTATATAAATGAGTTCATCTCTCTCTTTCTGTTAACATTTTTTTCTTAATTTGCTCTTTTGGCTTTCTTTAAACATGACACCTGATGTCGTTTTGAATAGTTTTATTATTTCAAGTCTTTATTTGTGACACACTTGAGTCAAAGTGCAACAAAATAAATTTTATCCATGTCCCCAGATGATCTCTTTAGAGCCATTTATTTTAATTTAATGCAATAATCATTTAGTACTTTATTTTGTGCTCAAATTTTGTTCCTTACGTTTGTACATTTTATTGACCTGCATCCAAACACTAATGTGTATGTGTGCCAGCCAATGGACATATATTCATAAAACTCATTGGAGATGCAACTCCAACTGCTTATGCTAAGTTAGCTCACCTCCAGGGCTGCAGTTGAGAGCACTGTTGCTTAGTACACAGAAGGCTGCTGGTTTGAATCCCAGCTATGTGCATGTATGAGTTTTCTCTGGGTACTCTGGTTTCCTCCCACAGACAAAAAGCATGCATGCAGATGGAGACTTATTGTCCCTATGTGACCTAGAGGGTTGGATGCTTAAGATCCTAAAACCGTAGGTGATAATAACTCTTGATGAAAACAGCAGAGGCTTATTCACAAGTTTAACAATTTTTATTTATAGATACAACACAGGAGATTTATTGAAGACAACCCAGGTCGGGATAAAAAGTAGACTAAAAACTCTAAAACACGGGAGGGAGGAGCGACGACAATGCTGGCCCTGGGACTACACACGCAACGCCATCTATTTCTATTTAAAAGCACAAAGCCGCTGTAGGGACCCGAGACAAGAGACAATAATATAAAGAAAAACACTCAGTGCTCCCTTTAACTAAAGCTCATACACACGTCACCCAGAAGTGAGTAAAACCCCCGACAAACCCCTACAGCGGATACGCTAAAAGAAACTAGCCTCCCAGAGACAGCACTGTGCTTAACGCTTAACCACCCGACTCAAACAAGTTTCCTTCCCCCTCTGGAGGAAAACTATTAATAACAGGATAAAACCGGTAAACGGTTTACTAAAAAAACTAGAAAAGATTTAATAAAATGAACTGGGAAAACAGTAGCAGGCTAAGGTCTGTGAACAAAACACGCATTGTTAGTCCTATTCTAACGAACCATAAAAATGCTGTGAATGTTATAAACCAGTACCTCATCGGCCGACCGCTTGCCAATGAAAATTCCGGCTGTTCACCCCTCAGTCCTGCTCACCCTTCGTAAAGAGGAACCAATTAAAAATATAACCGTTAACTAAACTAAAGCAAGGCCAGGTCACTCACCACTTAGCCGCACGCACGTCTGGACCCAAAGCGAAGCATTCAGCGTTTGCAGCTAGATCCCAGCTGCCCTAATTATAGCAGCCCTCTGATTACACACCTGGATCCCCTGTCAGCGGCATGACAGGTATAACCAGAATAACTTCCGGGAACTAAGGTGACCCGGTTACAATCCACCCCTAGAAAATGTATCGGCGGCCCGTCGATATGAAAACAAACTAGCACCACGGTCAAAATATTGCTGCTTCAATACTGCCACTACTGGTGATCTAAGAGACAGCAGCCCCATCCGCCATCCCCCCGGCCCTCCTTGGGAGATGATGAGGATTTGAATGCTGGCCAGCTGTTTTTCTGGATGACTTTCGTGTAACCGCCTTACTTTCTCCGTGCTCTTGGGGGGTCGTTGCAGGGGCCAGTGGAGGTAGGTCGAGATGACCTATACTCGTAGCTCCATGGGACACCAAACCCTGTGAATTTCCCTCTAATTTTCTGGTTACTAAAAATACATACTCTGGTTCATCCTCTTCCTCCAGGGTAGGGCTCTCCTCTCTCACCCTGGACTGCTTAGGACAGAGCCCCTCAGGGACCGGCCTCAACAAAGAGCGATGGACAGTCTTATGGCGTTGTAGGTTGTCCAGGGGCGCCACCGTATACACTGATCCCCCTGGTGTCGGGGACTTCAGTACCACATGGATCATAGGGCTCCATTTGTCCTGGATCTTGGTCCTGCCCCTTTTACTGTGGTCCTCAACATAAACCAACTGCTGTACCTGCAGTTCGCTGGCCAGACCCTCTCCATCATGGCGCTCTTTACGACGATCCGCTGCCTTTTGTATACGATCCTGTGCCCCTTTTAGGGCAACCTGGAGTCTACGGCGGTGTTCTTGAACCCAGTCCTCCACTCTGCCCATTTGAATCTCTGGGACCCTTCCAAGGAGAAAGTCAATAGGTAAGCAGGGTTCCTGACCAAACATTAAAAAGTGAGGGGACTCACCCGTAGCCTGGTGAACAGTGGTATTATAAGAGTACAATACCTGTGGTAAATACTGGGGCCAACGGCTTTTCTTTTCAATAGGGAGAGTGCGTAGCAAATCATGTAACGTTCTGTTGAACCTTTCACATTGGCCATTTCCTTCTGGATGGTACGGTGTGGTGCGTGTCTTCTGAACCCCATACAGCTCACACAGCTGATGGATTAGTGCACTCTCAAAATTACGGCCTTGGTCCGAATGCAGTCTTGCTGGAACACCAAACTTGTAGAACCATTCCTGCACCAGTATTTGAGCCACCGTCGCCGCTCGCTGGTCCCTGGTTGCCACTGCCTGGGTAAACTTTGAAAAAACATCAGTCATCACAAGCACACTTTCTACACCATCCTGAGATGGGTCCAGCAGTGTAAAGTCTATCGCCAATACTTGGTTTGGTCTTGATGCCAGTACATGTCCCATAGGTGCCCGACTCTGAGGACGAGGGGCTTTTGCTAAGGTGCAGCGTTCACACTGGTGGCACCATTCCTTAATATCTCTCAGCATCGGCGGCCAGTAACATCGCTCTCTGATGAGTTCTGTAGTCCTCTCCACCCCCTGGTGGCCATGGTACTCATGCAGCTGCTTCATGACCTCCACCTTCAATGTCTCTGGAAGTAGCAGTTGATTAATATCCTCCCCACCTTCAGGCCGCTGCGCTTGTCGGTAGAGCAAACCATTTAGCTGAACGACTTTACTCCACTGCCGACACAGCTCCAAAACCTGAGGCGAGAGACTCGCTCTTTCTGCCCGGTCTGGGCCTTTCTGGGTCTTCCAAAACCCCATAAATGTATTTAAGGTGGGATCAGCTTCTTGGAGAGCCTTGAGGTCATCATGGGAATAGGACGGAAAAACTGATACGGCTGCCTGGATGGCTTGTTGAGCCAGGTCAATACCTCTGGGCACTCTCAGCACCGGCACTGGAGTTCCTGGAAGGGGAATGTCAGCTTCCGTGGGGGCCCCAGGTTTCCTTGAAAGGGCATCTGCATTCACATTGGTTCGGCCAGATCTGTAACGAATAGTGAAGTTAAAATCTGCTAGCTGTGCTGCCCAGCGCTGTTCAGTTGCACCCAGCTTAGCTGTGTTCAGATGGCTGAGAGGATTATTGTCAGTCCACACAATGCATCGTTGACCCAGCAAATAGTCTCTGAACTTCTCGGTCATGGCCCATTTTAAAGCTAAAAACTCCAGCTTCATGGAACTGTAATTAGACATGTTCCTTTCTGTGGGTCTTAATCCATGGCTAGCAAAGGCAACAGGGCGTACCCTGCCTTCCTGCTCCTGGGAAAGGACTGCTCCCAGGCCACCATAACTGGCATCATTCTCAAGAATAAAAGGCAGGGAGAAATTTGCATATGTTAGAACAGGTGCACTGACCAGTCTGGCTTTTAGTTCCTCGAAACCCTGTTCACATGCTTGGGACCAATGATTACCCACTTGCTGTTGCCGTCGCTGGCCTCGTAACTGCTGTAGCTGGGCTACAAGTTGGTGAAGTGGAGCTGCCAATTTTGCAAACCCTTCTACGAACCGTCTGTAGTAGCTGGCAAATCCCAGGAACGATCGTAGCTCTGTAAGGCTGTTTGGACGAGGCCAGCTCTTTACAGCAGAGATCTTGTCTGGATCCGTGGACACACCCTCGCTAGAGATGACATGGCCCAGGTACTTTACTTCCTGTTTGAAGAAGGCACACTTGTCGAGCTTCACCTTTAGCCCTTCTTGTCTCAGGCGATCCAGCACCGCTTCCAAGCGCAGCAGATGCTCATCGACTGAAGAGGAAAAGATCACAACATCATCTAGATACAACAACAGAGACTGACAGTGCTGGGCCCCAAACATCCGTTCCATCAATCGTTGGAATGTGCTGGGTGCATTGCACAGACCAAAGGGCATACGGTTAAACTCATACAATCCAAAGGGAGTGCAAAAGGCAGTTTTCATTTTATCTGCTTCAGCCACTGGTACCTGATTGTAGCCACTTGCCAAGTCGAGGGTGGAAAACCACTTTGCTCCTGATAGAGCATCCAGAGACTCCTCAATCCTGGGTAGAGGAAAAGCATCACGACGTGTTTTACTGTTCAGTTGTCTATAGTCAACACATAGACGAATACTCCCATCCTTTTTCTTCACCACGACAATGGGGGAGGCATAGGGGCTACTGCTCTCACGTATCACCTGACTCTCCAACAGCTGTCTGATGTGTGCTTTTACTGCCTCATACTCTGAAGGTGGGATTCTCCTAAATCTTTGACGCACTGGCACGTCATCCGACAGAGGGATCTCATGCTCCATCAGGTTTGTACAACCCAGGTCCCCTTCATATGCGGAGAACACACTGTCATACTTTCTTAGGAGGGAC